TAAATATATCATTATAATACACGTGGACGCCGTTATTGTAGAGCTATATTCGAATTAACGTCATCGAAGTTTACACACTATTATGCGTTAATACAATATAATAACACGTGTAATTTTTCTATAATCGGCTCACCGAAATCCCACTCTATACGATATTACAGTGAAATTTCAGAAACCGTTCATATATATTTACTTTGATTTATTACGTGTTTTGGAAAAACTTTTAATAACATATCAAATTTAATTACGGGATATTTATATTGCCCTACACACGCTCGCTTATTGTTGTTTTAATACTTGTCAAAAATTAATTTTATACAAGTAAAATTATTACGTACATGTCTGTGATGACTAGAATCGTGTAAAACTGTTTTTTGATATTAGATTAGAATATTTATCAGTAGTATAGTCCAAATTTACATGTACGTGCTATACGTGCTAGTGCTATAGCGCTTCCTTGGCTCGTTGGTTAAAATCAACCGATCGACGATAACACTGTTTGTGTGGGCGGTGGTCGTTTGGGCGAAGGTAATAATTTTAACCAAAAAAATATTAGTCTGTTTGGGCGAGTGAAATTATTTTTACCAGTGGGAGGTAAAAATTTGATGACAGATGTGGATGATATTATTGCTAATAAAAAATAAAGAGTTTATACAAGAAACATGAAATAAATATAAAATAGGGGATATTAACCAATTAGAATACATAAAATGTTTAGGTTTAAAATATGAGGCTATCTAAATATAATATAGATTGCTTTAAAAACTACTAATAATTATGTTATCTGTAATTGAATTTTATTATTTTAATTGTTTGACTGTAGATTAATTCCTATTTATAAATAATAATATTATTAATATCCATATCAATATTTTTTTTTAAACAGAACTTATTATTAATTATTTATATTTTATATGATTTCTTTCAATTAATTGTTGAATGCATATTATGAGCATTTTCATACAAAGCCAATAGATTACTTTAAAATATACTATATTATATGTAATTGTATTTATAATTTTTTGGCTGTAAATTACTAACTACTTATATAGTTATATAATATATGTAATAATATTATCATTATTCATATCAATATTTTTTTTTAAATGCAACTTATTGTTAATTATTTATATTTTATATAATTTTGTTTAATTAACTGTTGAGTGTATATTATAAGCATTTTTATACCATCCAAACGGTATTTTTAGTTAAATAATCCTCGCCCAAACGGTATATATTTATTCACCCAAACGGACTGCATTTTGGGTCGATTCGCCCAAACGGTGTACGGCCGTCTGTGTGGCGTATGCACACACGTTCTCCTCTGTTTCTCCATGGTTCGGACCACACCCGACCGGTATAGTGTACAGGAATATCGGTCAATTAATTTAAAATAATTACCGACCAATTAAGTAACGATATGCCTCTCTCTTTCTCTCACTCTCCACTGTCTCCGTCGTCCATCGTTCTTTTTCACATCGTTTTGCAACCGAACAACGGCGGGCGATGGCATTTCCTTTTGGCACGCTGTTTCACCAGCAGTAGAGCCCCGTTCTCACCGCTCCGTCATCGGGTGACATGGAGCTAAATTTTATTGATGATATATTTATTCGTTATTAATATTATTTTGACCGTTATTCTTATATCCTTATATATATATATATTTTCATTATTTATATTGTTTGTGTACTATTTGGCCCACATTTATTATTATTATTATTATTGCTATTTTACGGTAATCGTTCAGAGGAGCCTATAGGAAAATTATACCTATGTATGTAATTATTATAAACTGTCCTTTGTTTTAAATATTGTGTTCATTCTCTCCGTCCGAATCAAACCAACTGATTAATATCAATAATACACATAAAATATATGTATTCCAATGTATTTTAACCTGTCTATAATGGACTCTTTCTATTACGGACACGGACATTAATATTTTACCCCGGTGATTTCATAACGGACAAAAGTCTTAGTTCAAATTTAAACGTAATAACATATGAATAATTTTTGATAACATTCGCCCTGAATTGAATCTCGTGGAAGTCGATGACGAATAATCAGAAAATTCTAAAACCAAGACTTTTAAAAAATACTCAAAAGCTCTTGAACAGCTTACTCGTCTGAAGATGTATATATTTGAATAAAAATGATAAAAAAGGATTTTCGCAAGTGAGCAAATGAATTATTCACAACGAGCTTGAAATGACCAAATCTAAGTTAAAAAAACAATACTATAATTTTGTAAGAAATATTATAATTAAATTTATAATGTATGTGAATAATATAATAACAAATAATAATGATGAGAAATATAATAATATAATATATATATATAAAATTTTCATTTTTCATTAAACAGTTACGTTTGTAAATTAATTTGACTTTTACAACACTGAAGCCTGTCTACAACGGGTACCATTTTATAACGAACAATTATTTTGGTTTTACGGCTGTCCGTTATACTCAGGTTTCACTGTATAGTCTAATTGAATGAGAACTGCAAAAGAGGACATCGCATATTATGTTACTCACTATGTCACACATATATTGTTTATGGATAGCGATTCTAAAAGGACCATGTGGACACGAGTGTTCATTTATATTATATTTAAGTGACTTTATAACGTTAATAATATTATAATTATATACACCATTGTTTAAAGTATTGTATTTGAATATATCATTATATAAATATATTATATACGCCTCAAACTAAATAGAATAGTACCCCAGTACTATATAGACGAGTTATATAATACTATTGTGCTGTTATAATAATACTGTTTTCGTCAAAATAAAAATCAAATAATATATACAGTTACACATTTATGGCTTCGAATGAATAATATTATATGAGCTGAAAAAGTTTGATTTTGGAAATACACATGACTTTTTATTTGTATCTGTATCTGTATTTATTTGTAATTCTTGTTTCAAAAACAGCGTATAACAATGTTATCATTTCTAAATATTTAACTAATTACTTTCATTAAATAATTATAAATCTAATTATGTCATGGGATTCATCTAAACGTAATTTATTATCAGTCATTAACTTTGTGTATGAAAAACAGTGATAGAAAAGCAGTATTCATTATACCAAATTACTATGCCTCCCTTTTCGAAAACGCTAACTGATATTAAGAGGTGTTTAGATTTCCTTCCTATCACCAAACCATCTTAAGACTAATGCAACATACCACCTATCGGCGTGGAAATCTTTTCAAATAACAAATGTTTTTGTTGCAACTACCTATTATATAAGCTAACCCTTTATATTTTTCATTCTCAAAAAATTACTACTCAACTTTGTCAATTAATTGGGTATTATTTAAAAAAATACTTCGAAACATTTGATTATTCATTCCCACCGTCGACGCAAATATTTATTCCCCCATATTTATTATAATAATTATTTCTATACCCTTTGCGTACTATGGTTATCTGTATTGTATCTTTAAACCCGTTCTATGCATTTTTCTGTGGTATTACTCTACTTGATGATTTCAATTGTTTTTTAAGCGAAAATTCTAAAATTAAAAAAATTAAAATGATAAGTCGTCCACGATATTATTTCCGTACGTCTGATGATGGCAACGTCTGGACAACACTATTTTCGAACGGTCAGAAATCTGGTTTCACAAAAGTTCCAAATATGGGCCCAATTAACAATATACCCGGGTAATTGTGCGGCATCTGTCAACGGGAGATATTATGACTTTCAGCGAGTCGTTATTTTCTTTTTGATTTTGCGTTCCCTCCGAAGAAGCGGAAAAATAAAGAGAAAAAAAATGACTGTTCGGAGGGGGAAGAATTGCCTGAGTACACATACAGTACTATGTTATTGCGGTGTGCGTGGTACTCGTATGTAAATTCGATAATACATTTATATACGCATACGTACGAACAGCTAAAACAAGCTCACACGGTTTGGCGGCGAATTCGATCACACGACGACAACCGTTCGACGTGTCTTTGGTGTCGCGGGAAAACACGACTTCGCCTAAAGGTTTATTCTAGTTTTATCATGCGCAGTATATTTTCCAACTATCTATTAGCGCAATGACCACCGATGGAGAGTTGCCAAAAAAGGATTTGTTCGGCCTGACGTGACCATCGGCCCTCTTACGCCAGTGCATATTATAATATACCAACAACAGACTGCACGAGCTATACAGTTACTACCAGTGATACCAATACTACTACCAATACTGCATTCTAGTACTGGTATACTACGATAATATAACACCGTGTATATATAGACCGTCAGTTCGGAATATATACTTACGTGAAAACGGGTTTCGCATAGATCATGATACTATGGAATTCCAATATTTTTTTTTAATTATTTTCTTTTTTCAAAGGCTAGTCCAACGACGAATGGCCCGGAATTGTGAAATCTAGAGCAATAATATTATTATTTGCTTGTTTCTGTTCTAAAGGCCATCTGGCACACTGCATTTTCGATTAATAGATTTTCACGGTGAACGTTAGTAATATTAAACACCTGAGCCTAATATTGCCGCTTCAGAGAGCAAATAAATCGCACATTACACGATACGTCATCGCTACGTCACTTTTTATTTCTTTAGTTACTAAACTAACTTATTACCGCAACTGAAATATTTAGCACAGCTCTCATCGTTGTGAGTCATACATAATAATACATTTGCATATAAACTATGGAAACGCTATACATTTTCAAAGCTACGCATGCGTGTCCTTATGTCGGAGGACATAGTCATATTATTATACATAGTTTCTATATCAAGAAATTATTGAGTCAGTAACAAATGGTAACTAAAAACGGTGCGCTTCGTATTTTTTTTTATAAAAACATTTTCATCCTAGTGAATAACTAAGTATCAAAACCTGTGACTATAATTATAGTAACTTTTAGAATTATTTTTTCAACGATACAACAAGAAACTTGATTTTTTTAATGTCAATAATTATTATACTAATAACTTCATTATTTTATTTATAAATCCTACCTTCAAGCCATCCCTAAGCCACGTGATCTTCGGAAGCGGATCACCGACGATCTCTGAATCAATAATCACTTCTTGTCCTTCTTCAACTTCTTGAAACTTCGGTTTCACGACGAATTTGGGTTTTTTTGAGTACCTTTATATTTATGATCACGCAGTGAAATAACTATTGTTAAGCGCTGTCAAAAAAGTAAAAACAGAACAAATAATAAAAACAAATACTTACAAATTATTTTCCAAAGAAATCTGTTCCAATCCTATATTAAAATGCTTAAGTTCTACCACGTCTACATCACAACGACTTTCTATCGTGCCCGTATCATTAGACACTCTCAACATGTATGTACCCGAATCGCGTTTCGTCGCACATGCTATCCTTAGTTCTAGGTTTCCGTCATGATTGGTAATAATGTCAACTCTCCGTCCATTTCTTAGCTGAATGCCGTCTCTGAACCTTTAAAAGAATAAGAAAAGTCTTATCTGGTGATGTGACTAATAGATAATTTATATTTTATAAAACGATACATTTTACAGCAAAATGTTTTGCTATTACGGTGATATATAAATAATTTATAAACCATTTCATAGTGGTACAGTATGGAAAACAATATACGTATTCATTATTGCTTTGAATATATTCGATATATTTTAATATTTAATGATATTTAACGATGATTAAATGTCATCAAAATACATTTAAATACCACTCATTCTGTCTCGTATATCAGCGTAAAAATAAAACTACCTAAACGATTCATTTAAAATGTTAGTAGAATATATTTAATATTATGTACAGGTTTATTAAGAAAGTATTTCAAAAATATTATTTTTAAGGGTTGAAATAGATTGATGGACATGTGTAAATTTTTCACTTTTTGTTTACCAAAGAATTTTTTTTTTTCACATGTTGACTTTAGTAATTGATATAGAATAACTAAATAAAAACGAACACTGTATATACAATGCGTTTTTTTCAACATAGTTATTTAATTTAATTTAAATAGTAATATTTTTATCCTAATAGTTAAATATTTCCCGGTGAGGCCTGGTATTTCAGTTAGTATGTTATAAAATAACACTATTGCAGCAGTATTAATAGGTAAAAATAGTTTCACCATTATTATAGGAATTAAAAGTGAAATGTAAACAATAAATTATAATTTCATGCACGATTGAAATTAAAAATAAATTTGGTCACTTATATATGTTCATGTATAGAAAAATATTTTGGTCAATATTTCTTATACTGGTTAGTACATGAATATTGTTCTATATGAGTTACACTGTGTAATTAGTAAAGTAGTAATATTTATGTACTATTTCTATCCAACATTTTAAACTTTAGTAAGCTTTATCCATAACACAAAAAATTCTGATATACCATCCAAATGATGCAAGTTAAGACGATTATTTATTTTTATAATGATCTTGAACAATTGTTACTTTGTGTATCGTTTTGTATTAAAATACGATGCACTAACGTTAATTTTATAATTAAAAGATTATGATGTTTATCAGTACTGTATGAAAAACATTTTCGAGTGGTTACTAATACAAATCTCATAGATACAAACGTTATAGAATTTAATCATAATACATATTCCACCATTAATGTAGAAAAAACGACGTAATTACGGCCGTGTAAAATATAACACAATGAACGATGTCATTTCATTGACTCATACATAATTTTACACAATTATAGGTACCATTGGCCAGCGCTGGATTAAGATCACGTGTTATATTTGTTATAACACATTATGATAGTTTTTGATTTCAAAGTACTATTCTAAATATATTCATATCCAAAGAAAAATGTAATCAACGTTCAAAATTAAATAAAAATATGTGTTTGTAACATTTACAGACAAAATAAAAACCAATTCCCACATTTTTTCTCATTTAAAAATAATTTTTTAACTTTCCCAAAAACTAATTTATTATACTATTCGATGAGCCTAAAAATTAGAAGCTCATAGAAAATTCTTTAGGACCCGACGTAAATGTACCCTATACATTAGCAATATATATATATACATACACGAAATACTTAGAATCATTATTACTGCAGTTTACCATTCAACTTTGACGGGGCGAAACGCGTCGATCTGCGCCTTCAAAATGATCGAGTCAGCAGTTTCATACGTCGATGGCAATCCGAAAGTGAATTCCGGGACCGCGGGATCCATGCACTTTTTGTTAATCACTTCCAACACGCAGCGCGTGGATGCCGTCCCGATGGAATTCGTCGCTACCGCTGTGTATGCTCCACTATCATCGTATTTGACGTTGGTCAGCTCCAGCGTAGAAAAGTTATCCGAGTCTCGATATGATTTTTCGTTGCCTACGGAAAAAAAAAAAATTAATGTGAACGATCATTTAGATTTTTCGGTTTGTTATTGAATTGGCACATTGTGATAATACGGTAAGTACAGTTGAAGTATTCAGGAAAAATCGAAGTAGACACTGAATTCCTAATCAGTTATTGTACATTTTTAAAACGCATGGATACCAATTCATACGTTGCACTTATATGTATATATTTATAAGTTCAAGGATGAACCAAATACGATCTCTGTTAGTGTTCTTTATATTACTTACTTGAAATAATAGGTGGTTAAATAAATATTTGTTTCGATTCAACAAGATCAAATTAATACGATTTATTTTGAAGTAGGTATCACAAAAATTCTGTTAAAATTAAAGATATACATGTATTGAGATTAAAAAAATTAATTGCTTAAAGCACCGGACGAAACTACGGCAACAACCATTACTCAGATTTAATTCATCAGTAATTTTATTACGTACAAATATTTGTTCACGGAAAACACAATTTTACGTCATCGTAAAATCTTTTCGCGTTATGATCAATATCCCAAAACAGTTACGAGTCGCATATCTTTTGGCATTTTTCCGCAGTAAGGCGCCTGCAAGCTTATGAGAACACGTATTGTTAGAACTACCTGGTATTGTTATACGTCACACACGACAGGAAGAATAAATAACGTAAATATATTTTTTTATTAAGGTATTCATTGAATACACTCGAAACACGCGCCAAATGTTTTATGACAATATGGCATTTGAAATATTTCTTCGTATTATATTGTATAAATTATATTTATTGGACACGGAACCCGTTGAACAAAAAGTGCTATAATAATATTATACATTTTGTACCTGTAAAGTCCACCGGGTGATTGTCTTTATACCACAAAACCAACGGCACGGGTAATCCGTGTACCTGACAGGATAATCGGACCGTGGAATTGATTTCTACGCAACGGTCGTTCAAACGTTTTGTAAATACTGGCGCCGATTCTTTAAAGTCGTTGTTCTTCATCAGACACCTGTTGAGCATAATACAAATATAATAACACACGTAGTCGTTCTTATAATACATTCGAAAACACGGCAACGGTCTGCACTCTACAAATTCATAGATATCCATTTAATTTATCGTTAGTATTGTGTATAACAATATCGAGCCATGTATGTATACGATTCAGTATATATGTAATGGTATAATAATTTAATGCGTATATCTTTTTTCAGACGCTAACAAAAAATCGTAAATACGTAAATGCGCAGCATGTGTCTTACATTTTAGGATATAACGATAATGTACATGTTGTTGTAATATTTATATTCAATAATTGTGTTTTATTGCATTGATATTATATACCAGATAACGTCTGTTTGTCTTGATATCCTATTTTGATAATCGAAAGTATATGTTATACATGCAGACCTTATAAGACGTTATGTTAGAAGCGAAAAGTTCTTTGGGGAAGACGGTCACGTTTGACTATTATAATACCAACTATAATATTTCGAAAATTAATGAAGCTATTACCGGTAATGTTTCTTACCGGTAATGGAATACGTGTTTAAGTATAAAAAAACATTTAATGTAAATATAACTTTATTAATTATGAACACGGGTAAAATTAATAATGACATCGAATTAATTTAATATTTAGTTTACGATTCTGAAACGAAGAATGTATTAATTTTATCATAAAGTGTATTGATTTTGTGTTTGTATGTATATACAAATTTCGATCAGAAGAATTACTCCGATCATCACCAAATAAGAGTTTTAAAAAATAGGTCCTTTTATGAATTGTTCAATTGTTTTTTTAATAATTACAAAAAACTGACTGTAAGTTATAAAATAACGACAACATTAACCTACGACACACCGGTTTTCATCAAAACCAAATTTTTGTTTTCATCTTAAGTTACAATGGTCTATAAATCATAATTACAATTAATTAAGCATTTTGCTAGTAGAGTACCTACCTATACAGTATAATTCTCCTTTGTACTTGTTAAATATATTATATATTATATCTATATAGTCCAATTATTATAAGGGTTTTACTTGTAAAATGAAAAATACAAAATATGATTTTCCAGTTAAATATGTTTATGAATCATTTAATCAATATTTTATGCATTATTTTGAATTAATTTATTTCAATTATATTCTTAATAGGTTAAATGAATAGCCAAACGGATTATATATCTTATACCTTACAAGTACCCACGTTTAATACAAAGTATGTTCGACAGTGTAAAACAGTTGAATATTATTATAATATCTAAAAAATTATTTATGGAAAAAACCTTCTAATGATAAATAAATTGTCAGAGCTGTACGTAGAAATCGTCCAAGGGGAGGAGGTGGTTCAAAATTATATTTGTTATGTTAGGTAACTTTACAATAAAAAATACACGTTGGCATATCCATGATCAAAAATCAATAAATGTCAAAAAATGTTTGACCAGCTGGAACAGCTGACTTGTCAGTGAAAATGCGTCCTATCGATGGCTACATTTATAACGGTAATTGAGAGTAGGTGGAAAATGTATAAAAGTTCAATAGAAAAATGCGTCAGACAGGAAATTAGCACTGTAAAAACAGAAATGGACAACTATGTATGAATTATCAAGTAATTTTAACTTTTATAGAATGAGGACAGAATAGAAGAATATTCTTAGTAAGAATGTGTGAAAAATGATCCTCAAATAGGGGTTAGAACCCTTCACCTTGCACGCGGACCTGGAAAATGTGAACATTCATAAAAACTTTATTATTCTTAATAATATTGGTAAAATTATGTATTAAAAACACAAAATAATATACACTGTATCACGCATAGTTTTAATAAATTCAGAATTTAAGACGATAGTAGTGTATCAATGAGATTGAAAAAATACTGTTGAAGAACTAACGTATACGAAGCGCATTAAATAAAAACACTTAATTATTCTATACAAAGTAAATTATTTATAATTATTTAATTATTCTATAGTTTAAACATTTTGTGGGGTCCAGACAAGAGTCTATACTATTTAAATTTTAAACTGAGGCTCACCCAAGAGTTTATCATGAGAGGGGGATGTTTAGTCATATATGTAACAGTTAAATGAGGGAAAACATTCCAAAGTCTGAACAAATATTCATGACAATTTCAACCATTTAGTAGTTAATCTTAAATGTAAACTTAAATCTTAATGTAAAAATCTGGACACGTAAACAATTTTTAGGTTAAAGTAGCTTAGTCATAAAAAAGCCTATATCCAAAGGACTTGAGCGACTTTAAGGGATTAAATCCCCGCAATTACTTATAAATATTTTAAAAAAAAGTAATTAAAATTCCCAGGCCAATGACCCGTTCTATAAATAAATCATAGTACCTCAGAATCTATATATCATTATTAACATAGGAAATATTGTAATTTGCAATAATTAGTAAGAACCGCGGTGGTACACTACTTATCCCTACGAATATTTCGTAATAGTCTAGCAATACTATAATAGGCATTTACCCATTATTTGACCTTGTGTGATATGTAAATCGTCTTCATTGTTAATTATGCAACGTTTCCAATATTTTGGACACGTCGAAGGGCAAATGTAAATGGTTTTAATTTGTATTTTTACTGTTTAAAAACTACGTTGTACCTACCTATAAATTGCATATGTATGTATATTATGTATCAATCCTCATACGGTTTACAAATCACGGAAATAATTAATTGACTAAACGTGTATCTAACCGTGAATATATTGTGCGCATGTACCTTTTATCTCCGTGAATAAACTCCTTACCCATGCTTGATTATTAATCTTGAAATTTATATTTATAAAATAAAAATCAAATACTATATAAATACCTCATAAATATCCCCATATTTGGTCAATTATACTAACGTTATGCGGCGATAGAAATCATTTTATAGAAATATCTTAATATGATTTATTATTATGACAGGTGTTTTTAAAAAAATCCCGTAAAAAAATAATTTCAATCTGCCGCATTCAAAAAAATATTTATGGATATAATAATACTAAGATGAAATGCCTTTGAGTGTTATTAATACTAGAAACAACTATTTTTAAATACTATTTGCAGTAAGAAGCATCTAGAAGCATCTATGAACTATCCAAATTAAAAATAAATAAATAGTTATACAAAATAAAATACATTTTTATGGTTTAATAAACGAATTAAGAGTAGAAATAGCTTATTTTTATAATAAGTTTAATAATATAGTTGGTTTTTTTTGTTATTATAATGAGTTTTATTATTTAGTAAATTAACAAATAAAATAGAGTTGGGACCGTCTAAAATTTAACATTATTTTTGGTTAATCACTAACGTTTTCCAAATATGTCAATACAATTTCAAAACCTAACCAGTAACCCACTGATTCCACATTATAGTTAAAATATACATATTATATGGTTATATTAAATGTATATTTTATGGAAATTAATAAGATTCTAATCGTACATCAACTAATGAAACTCTATTTGGAAAATAAATATTAGCAAATAACCCGACATAGCGTAATATTTTGTATTTTAGGAAAACGAAAAGATACTTTAATACAAATAAATGCATTAGAAAATACTCGTGTACGTTTAGAGGAAATTCTAATCCTATATCTAATAATAACCAAAATCACTAATACGAAACGGTAAGCTCGTGTATTTTTAAATGCATATTGTTATTATAATATAGTTATACAATAACAAAAAACCTCTAGTTACGAGGCTAAAAACTAACCCCCCCTCATTACTACGCACCACTAATATAGGTCAAATGACGTAATCTACGCTCTGCAGTGTAGTTTCATTCAAATGGAAACTAAGACATTATAGCTTATAATTAATATACGCGTCTAAATTATTTTTATTTTTTTATTTCAAAAACGATTAGCCGTGAGCATATTTTGTTTACAGTATAAATATATTTTTCGTCCGTAAAAAATGGATCGTATCGATGATGTCCGAGTTAAAACTATCAATTTTATAAGTATGATATTTTAAAATAAAATATAGGTACATTTTTGAGAAGTATTATAGGTATTATCCAAAGGAAAGCAATGTTTCTAATCGTTTATTTTTAACCTCGCATTCCATAGGTTATATTAAATAACGGCTTAATGTCATAATAACGTATAAAAACCGAATTTTACTCTGAGAGAAGATATTATAAACGAAATCAAAGCGGAACGAGAATTTAGATTATGTTCCTAATGTAGTCACAGTGCAATTGAAGAAATAAGTTTTTTTAAAAAAAAAAAGGTTTTAATGCTCAAAATACACCGTTACTTAGTAGCACGCACACGTACGACAGTGCTGTATTATAATATTTTATTTACAGTGATGTTCATACGCCACGGATAGATGCGTTTAAGTCTCATCGGGAACATACCCTTGAAGTTTTTGTTCTGCTTCCACCATCCTACGATTGGCCATTACTTCGACAACCGTCAACGTGTTCACCCTGCCGCATACGTTAACCGCTTCACACGCATATCGACCGGCGTCCTCGTTCGTGGCATCAACGATCGTCAACGTGCATCTACCCCTTTCCGTACACTCAGTGACATATTTCGCTGTTACCAATGGTTCACCGTCCTTAAACCACGTCACTTGAGGCACTGGAACGCCTCGGACCTGCACGAAAATTCGATTTGAAAATCAAACGACACTCTAATAATAATATAATAATTTAATAATAATAATAATATAATAGATTACGTGTACGAGCATTACGATTATATTTATTGAGTAACGGTTTAAGTGTTGGAAAACTATGTCATGTATTTATTATTTTCTATAACATCATATATGAGTACATTATTATTCATTATTTTTTATACTGTTTCTAGTGATAAGTGTTTTACAACAATTATTTATTTCATATCGTATGTTATGATTTAATGGTTAAATTTATGATACTATGTGATTATCGACTAACCCAACTAAAAACTTATCAAGGATGTAAGTTATTGACATTTATTGTCCATAATATCTTTACTATCTCCTGTACATTTATAATTTACTTATAGAAAATTATAACTAAAATAATGCGTTTCACGCTCACTCCTATTACGATTTTCGCAGGTCTAAATGCAATGCATAATATGCATGTTTATTAATTATTTATTTACTTTTTTTTTTTTTTGGTTGTACCAATTACCATCTCCACAATAAAATATATTTTTATGATTGTATTTGTAGTTTTTTAGAACACCACGGATAGTCAGGATAGTCAAGTAGTCATAAGGCTTCGACATTCCTTCGAGTCGTGCCAACGAGTCGCGTCGCGGATGAGTAACGTTGAGATATATATTATTCTCCGTCCCATTTATACCCACCGTTGTACACCAAGAAATTAACCATTGTAGTAAAAATAAAAAAAAGCGAATTATTATTTTTAAGTTTGATGACATTATACATTTTAAACATTTTAGTAGTTTTAAGTTAATTTTATTTATTTTTTACCAATTGAGAGAAAAATGACGAGATAACATATTTTTATTATTATATTTTAAACTTTTTAATTAAATGAGCTGTACATTTAATAATATTTAAATACTAAGTATATTTAAAGAACAACAAATATTTTGCTATATTTTCTGGATTAATGTCAATAAAATAAATTTTCAAATTTAAGCTTTCATCATATTATTTACCAGTTTCATTTTATAAAAAAAAAAATATGCATACTATTTCAATATAATAACTATTATTTTAGGTAATTTAAAAATAATTTTTTATGTTTATTTGGTCGTAAGTACATTTTTTTTTAAAGATATCTTTAAAAGTTTTTAACCTTGGCCAAGATACCAAAAATTTACAATCAACGTAAAACTGAGTATTTACACATGTGTAAATACATTTGTAAATGTGCACACTGTATCTGTATACAATTAATTGGAATCATGAATTTTGAAAAAAATGGTTTATTTGAAATTCTTGATTTTTATTTTTATTTTTTGTTATTTCATTAGTATGTATGATAGTTTATACTTTTATCTAATAATAATAAGCTACCAACACGTCGATGCAATACAGGAACATTGCAAACTATGGTCAACGGTGGAATAGAATGAGATTGAAAAATGTTCAGTGTTGGATAAATTCTTACTTATTAATCATAATAATTACTGTTATTATGACGATAATAATTCATAATTCAATTTTTCAAAGTTCTTGAGAATTTTTATTTTGACTCAGGTTTTTGGAATTATTTTGTTAGTTTCAAATGACTACAAAAATAAAGGGTCATATTTATACGTTGATCTAAGGCCGGTTTTAGCTCTTTCAGCCTTCTTTCAGCAATTCTTTCAAAATAATTTTTCAATTCACCTTGCTTGCTACATATTTGTAAATCATACAGAGAACATAATAATAATAATATAGTGATGGCTTATAAAACTGCAGTTCTACTTACAAGCGCAGCCACTACTTGCATGTTTATATAATAATAAATAATAATAATTTATATTAAATCAAATTGTGAAAATCATTATTCTTTCTACCTATAGTAGATAATTTGCGTCGCCAACGTTAGAACAAATTTATTTCTAATTTTAACGCCTCTCACGCGCCCTTCTGATTTCGGCGCCCCGTGCCGTCACACGCGTCGATCGTATCTAAAGCCGGCCTTGCATTGTTCCCTGTTAGGATATAAACTAGAAATACTAATGATCCCTATGCTGAAATGATCCATAAAACCAACAACATCGACATAAACTTAAGTAATTTAAAAAATATTTATAATATAATCTTACGTGACACTGTAATTTAGCGCTGTTTCCCAATAGCACTTTGGTCTCTCCGGGAAGCGGTTGAAAGAATTCGGGTAAATGTTTCAGCTCCCAGACGTCAACGTAGTCGGAAGTAACAACCGATTGTCCCCATCCGAATCTGTTGCGGGCGGTCACACGGAATTTGTACCGATTACCTGATTTCAGGTTGTACACGTCTATGCTGTTCGTGGGCGTCAACCCAACCTGTCAAATGAAAATATGACATTCACTTATAGAAACATCGTTGTACCATGTTTGGTATCATCAAAACAGCACGTGCATTACAGAAAATAAAGCAAATATTCTTTTGAATTCACTTGAAACACTTTTTCAAACTCCAGGGGAAAACGATTATAAATAGTTGTTACTAAGAGCAAAACTTTCACGTTTCCATTATAATTATACTATGGAAAACTTCTACGGGGGAGGAGAGATTAACTTGTGATAACCAGATTTTTTAACATCCCCTCGAGGAAGAAGTATGAAAATTAATTCTTAAAACTTTACTCGCAAACTCGTTCTTCCAAAAAATAAGAACGTACCTGTCTCCAGCATTCTTCGTCCGTAGATTGTGCCTCTACCTTGTAGACGAGAATAGTTTCCGCCTTTTCTGGTTTGTCCCATCGCAGTGATATTCGATTGTTGGCTCTGTCGGATACAACGGGTTCGCTGGCCACTGATCCTGGAACATCTAAAAATGATAAAATCTACGGTTTTATTTGTTATCGGACGTGTAACATCACGTGAAACTATCAACACCATGTGCTGTAACACGTAATATTTAAATAAGAATCAATTAGTGTTTTTTCTTTCAAAATTCATATTTTCTTTAAATAAAATTATTATGAGAAAAAGATACGATGTTACTAGTAATGTCAATCAAAAAATAAGTTTCATTTGGCCATATGATTAAGAGAACATTGGAAATAATTTTTGGAAACAATTTTTTCGATTAAAAAATATATTAATAGAGCATGCTTCTTATATGATCCCCAAATGTGTTCTAAAATCTTTAATAACACCATCGAAATAATAAAACACTAATATTGTGAATTCCGACCAGTTAGGAAGCACTTATTTGAAATTATATTTTTTATGGTAAATTTTTTTAGATCATGACAATTGACAAGATTTAGATTACAAATTATATCACCATTTTGAATTTAAAAAAAAGTTTGGCTCTGCTGTGGTTATTCCTATGCGAAATCGTAAACTAATATTTCAAAAATTTTCAAAAAGGATCAAAATATCAACTTTTTTTTTTGAATTTAATCGTTGTTTACTCTAAATGTATGGCCATAATTTTTTGTTTTTTCTGAACTCGGTTAAATTCAATACAGACAATAAAGATCTCGAAATCCTAAAATTATTCAGACATTTTTAAGTGTTTAACACTTTAACATTTTTAAGTGTTAAAGTGTTCAAACAAAGATGATTAAATATGGAAAATAAGCGATTTTGTTATATAGTTTCCAATCGAAAAAAAGTTCGTCCAAAATTTCCAATACTACAAATTGATTTGTGACCGAATGTGGCTTACTTTTTGATCGTTTCGTCAATCAAATAATGCAAAACGGTAGGTATGTGTTCACGCATATGTATTTTATATACTTTGATGTTCGCACAAGTACAACAGGAAGTCAGCCGTGGTACGAGTGGTTCCGCGTTGTTGCAGCCATCGATTCCGCAAGAGTTGAATGTTGCTCTCGCCAATATCGGAGTTAACCATTCCGGCTTAGTGATCGGAAAATGTATAAAAACTGCAATAGCAAAATACGAACAGAAATACCGTGAACGTATCCGGTTGATAAACGAATTTTTCTTTTTATTTTCAAAACTAACGTGATTCGAATAATTTGTCGGTATTCCGCGCGTCGTGCGAAAATACGCGCGTAACCCGTTGGACTGACGATAAAAATAGAGCGACGGACCCGAAGCAGAGTGTTAGAGAAATGACAAAAATAAACGCGGCCAGTCTCATATTTTTGTGTTTTGTCACGGTGAAAATTGTCGCGTTTTACTGCGCGACCCACAATCGTCGTCGTCGACCTCTTGTGTATTATTATTATTATTAATATAATTATATTATTCTTACCGTTTTTCGCATTGCAAACACCACCGCCTATTGCGTTCCACCGACCAATCGTGTTTCTGATCCGTGGCGGTGTCAAAGATCTCGCACGTTTTCTCACCTAAACAATAAAGATTAAAATGTTTTATTAATATTTCCAGAATTTCTCAATCCTCTTCTCTTTTTCTTGTGTTGTTTTCCAATGTTTTCCGTATGTAGACCTATGAGAAATTGCCGCTCTAAATAACTAAAATAATTTACTGCAGTAACTGAATTATCACTGAATTACCTACTATAATATACATTCATAATATATGTATATATATAAATATATTAATTAGGTTAAGTTTACAAAACAAATTTTATTTAGATACCTAAACACAATTTCTTAAAATTTAAACAATTTTTGTTAAAAATTAATAACAAAATACATTATTCAAATTTGCAACTTTAGGCACATGCCTATAGTGATTTTATTAATAAATACACCATAATATTATAATAAAATAAAATTTTATAATATACTTTATCGATATTTTTAATTTATTGAGATTATGTTCCTACAACGCTAACAAAAGAGAAGCGAGATGTTAAATTTATAGAATCAGTGGCGGACTGGCCCATGTGAAAAGTGGTAGAAATCCACTGGAGCCGCTGTCATAAGAGGCCCCTTTGTCATGGTGCACTTTTAATAAAATATATTATATTATAATTTTATATTAAATTATGCAATAGTTACTAAATGAACAATAATAGATAATAAGACACAAATACACAATCCTGCAGCATGATTTTTTTTTACATAATATTATTATTTACTTGTTGTATCGTAGATTTATCTACATTTTTCTAATATGCCTAGTAATAAAAATATGTTTCCTTGTAAGATTGATAGTGTAAATATTAGTTTTATTTACAATGTTTATTTAATCATGATCAATAATACGAGCATTGTTGTTTATGATTTCAAATAATACAATTTACAGTAACCACGACAAGAAAAATTGCTTGCATTGTGTCTAAGTTTAATATATAATTTAAATTTACATGTGTCTATTTATACTACACCATGCGAAGCGTATGCATTTTTTTTTTAACTTTATTAGTTACAGAAGTTATCTGTGAACGTACATTTAGTTAGCTGAAACTCATTATAACTAGATTAAGATCCAATTTAAATCAGGAAAATTTGGAGTCTCTGCTTTTAATGTCAATAAAAAAAAGAGCTGTTGGATAAAATAGATATGTCGGAAGTCATTAACTATTTAAAAGAATCATCCACCATTATGCATCAAATGTTGAATTTATAACTATAAATTTAAATAAAAAGCATTTGATATTTCATTCATTCATTTATTACCTATTATACTCGTATTATTATTATAAACTATTAATGGGAAAACAAGGAATTCGCTATTTTGAGGTAATAATGTAATTTGATGAATTTTTGTGCTGCAATAATATTTGACGTAATAAATGATTAAATCTAGCCATCTAGGGTCATTATAAATGAACATAAGAGGCTGTAAAATTTGCCAATCATAAACCTGGATTAAGGTGGGGGGCAAATGGGGCCGTGGTCCCGGGCCCGCAACGAATATTAAACAATAGTAGACCTCTGTGGATAGTAGGTTTTTTCGCTTTTTAACTCTATATTTAGCTCATATAAAAAATAAGTATAAGAAATTAATTAATAGTAATATATATATATATATATATATATTAATTAGTATAGTAAAGTAGTTTTATGGTTTTGTGTTCAGAGAGTAATGTTTTAGAGGTGATTAATACCGATGATGTAATTAAAGAGTTTGCTTCCCAAAAAGAAAGAAAAAGTTATTTATATAGATAACATTTTTATTTTTTGTATTAAAAAAGCAAGAAATAAATTTATAAATTAAAATATATTTTTTTTTTTTTGTCTCTGAAATATATTTATGTGTGGGACAATATTTTGATTATGATTATGGGCTCCTAAAATTGTTTGACCCCCGGCCCCAAATTATCATAATCCGGGCTTGGCCAATCATAAGCGATATAGGCGGAAATCCACTTAGTACTCTGAGGGTGCTCGAGTCCCTCCAAAGTTAACTTATCGGTAACCTGTAGGGGGCTTTGACATTCACACTTCCCATAAATCTCAAATACTCGGCTAAATCTTTAAAACAAATATTAGAAGAAACAGAAACAAATTCATGAAAATAAAAATTTACTTAAATAATAATAATAGGTACATAATATAATCAAGACTTTTATTATATAATAGTAGGTCGAAACAGCACAAATGCACAATGATGACTACATCATTAGTTATCTGAAAATTAAGTACATGATAAAATGTTGTCTCAGTAATATCTAAATATAGACATAAAAGATTTTAAGTATTAAAAACGATATTATATAAAATTATGAAGTATGATAAGTATTATTTATTTCTAGAATATATTGTTAGTGCTAAACATCGTTTTAGGAGATTTTAGCCTATGATGAGCGAGAATAGTGAGCTGCAAATTTTTTGATCATACAAAAAAAAAAATGTGGGCCGCTCAAATCTTCTCCACCCGGGCCGATGTACTCTCAGTCCGCTCCTGTTTAAGATACTATAAATTCGATCGAAAAAGTTGATATATTTTTTTTTCTGGATGGATTATGTTGTTTTAAAATAAATTTAGAAACTTAGAACACTTAGAACTTGTCCAATAGTCATGACTATTAATGTAACATGTAATTTAGCAGCTTATATTGTCTATATGAAATTATAGCTGTGTAGTTAAAAAATCTATGTAAAATTCATACATAAATTGTATTGTTATTTTAAATTTGTATTTATTTTAAATACATTTAAATTGTCAAATTCTGATAAGATGTCTAGATTATGATATACATAATATATTGTGTAAAAAGTTTTCAAACTAAGCTCATAACTATATTCTGAAGACATTAGTTAATTGAATTTGACGGTTTGAACTTTGAAAATGCACGTATTACACTCTCTGTACAGGTCCAAGGAGTTTTCAAACTTATCGAGAGAGTGAGGGAAAGAGGCGAGTGGCGATAAAGTAAACCTCGTCAAGAGACGATCTACAAAGTACTACCAAGTTCAAAGCAAAACTTTAGTATCCTCTCGAGATATAATTTATCTACCCAAAGAGTATCTTAGATTTCGAAAATGAATATGAATAAATGAACATTATTTTGAGATTGATAAACAATTCTCAAGTGCCATAGTAACGTTTAAATTTTTACCAATGTTAACATCACATTCACCCAGTATTGAAAATAACTATACATAAATCATAATGTATTTATCGCATACTTTTCGATGCAAATAAAGAATATCCTAAAATTGTTAATCAGGCTTTAGGTTTATTGATAATCGATAATAAAAAAAAAAAACATATCATAGTTTTCAATTTTCAGTTTAAACGAATAGAAAGTGTACTCTACGTGTATGTATGAAATAATACTTTCTAACTTTGGAAGATGTAAAAATTATATTAACGAATTATTATTAATTTATAAAGAACATATTTTACCACGAAAATTATGGTAAATGCTCTATCATTAATACTATTATTAATAATATTAATAAAGCAAAAAATGTATGTAAAGTTTAATAACAATTTTACTTTTCAACTACTTTCGGTATAGTATACCAAAATAAAAGCATAAATAATATTATATATGTATACATAAAGTAACGATACACAATTTTTTTCTTTTAAAATGCGTTTAATTCGGATTTATAGGTTTCATTTAGTGTACAATATGGATTTGTTTAAATAACAGGCCTGTAATCTATAAATTACAATGAATACAACTGAAAAGTATAACAAATTTTAAAATATTGAATAAATTACAAATATACAATATACAATATTGTATTAAAAAATTACAGAGCCTCTTAAGATTTTAAGACAAGCTAGAAGATATTTTAATAAAATAGTATTTATTTTACTAAAATAAAAATAATATAATAATTTTATTTGATTTCTGTTGACATTATAAAAATTATAAATATAATATAGTACAATATACAGTATATTAATGATTAGAAAGTCAATCACTACAACTCATGATCTAGTTAAAATATTAAAATAGAGATTTGTTTATATAATATTTGAGTGATGTTCAATGTTTTATTTATAATTTTTACTTAAAAAAAATATTTTTAATATTTTTCCACAAGTTTTTTATAGCAATTTTGTTAAATTTCATAATGATATTTTAGAAAATAATATCCCTGAAATTGGTTAAATGTTCAATGAATGAGAGCATAAAGAGTGGTATAAAGAGTATAAATAAATCAAAAATTTTAAATTTTATGTTTTCACATTTTTAATATAATACCCAAAACGAACCTACTCGAACTCTATGAATTTTATTTAATATTTGTATTTATTGTCATTACTATTTAAAGTAACTACATTGAACTATTATAGTTAATTCAATCTCATTAGCCTAGGATCTTTTTCTTTTTTTGTGAACAGCCCAAAAGCTGGTTGGCAGCAATGTTCTATTCCTGAAGCATCTTCGCTTTCCTTTTTAATTCGCAGTAAGATCTGTAATCCATACATCTTACTATTTCATTAGTGTAGTCCAGTGGTGGTTGCTCTCTGTTATTATTCTGTTATTAATGAACCCTTCTTTTATCCTGCTAAGTAGACTGTTATGACGCAGTATATATCTAATTAATTTCGCTCTTTTTGTTTTTAATGTCTTTAGAAAGCTTCTTGTTTCTCCAGCTCTTTGATAAACTTCCTAATATATTATGTGTTATTCTAAGCTTATTCTAAGTATCCTTCTAGAACACTATATATCGAAAGCTAAGAGTCTTTTTTCTTCTGTTTTTTTTTTTTTTTTAATCTTTGTAAAGATCAAAAGATCAATAATAATCAATTGGGCCGATCGATTCTCCATCATGAATAATTGTGCTTCATGTAACATATCAGGCAAAATAACAACATATACCTATGAGTCGTTTTACTCACAGCATTCAAATATTTTTATTTTTGATAAAGTTGTAAAAATTATTCAACTTCAATCACAATCAATTTTATCATTATCAATAATTATCCAGCGCAATTTATGTATACCTTTTTAATATACATTTTATATATCGATGCAATATTATTATATTATACAGTGTCCCAAATTCGGTGCGATTGACGAACATTGAACAAAACCACTTAAATATTTGTATTAAATCATAACTTTCTAATTAATTAAAATCCTGAAGTCGTATTATGTTATTTAATTGTTATTTTTATTTTTATTATTACAAGATAGTCAATATGTTACAAATATTTTATGTAAAATGTATTTATACATAGATCAAGTTTTTAATTGTCATACACGATTAAAAATATATTATACATGCACACATGAGTGAACTATATTTTAAATTGAACTCGCATTTTTCAACAAAATTCACTTTTTATCTAGTTTACGTTGTTACGAATAGCAATATATTTATTTTTTTTTAATTAAATTTATATAGAGATTACCGGTTATATTTATTGAAAAAACATGAACCATATTCAAATAGTATAAAATTATTATATTTCTTTAGTTTATACTTATTAATACTTAGGTGATAGAACATTACAAAACCTTATATGCTAAGAATAAGGTAACGTGTTCATATGATTATCAAATCGGTGATAAAATCTTATTTTATTTAAAAATAAAAACTAAAGATCCTCTACTTTTTAATATAATACTATTAAAAAATAATTCAATTTTGCATAAAACAATTAATGTAACTTTTTATTTGAAGAGTAGCCCAGTTAATGTATAAAGCGGAACATTTTGATTTAATTACTGTAGTGCCTGGAATTTCCAATGTTTTTTGTCTATTATAGTCAGTGTCGTAGCAACCAAATATTGCACCTAGGCCAAACTTCCAAATGCAGTCTTATGTACTTTTAATTTAGAAATATTATAGTTATCAAATAGGTTATGTATGGAGAAACTTGATTGAATCGTGCCAAAGGCCTTAACAGCATGAATAGCACTATAAAAAAAATAGTTATTAGATATTATTTTCGATTACTTCAATGTATAAAAAGGATGGTGAAGTTTTTGTAAATAAATTATACAACATAAATGGTTATAATTTTTAACATAAATGCAAATTTTTTTTTACTCCTCCCAGTAATTGCGCCCGGAGCGTAGGCACCTCTCGGCATCCTTGCTACGACCTTGACTTTATTCACTTTTCTGTGCACATAATGTATTTGTATAAAACACACTTGAACACGGGACACCGAATTTGTATTAACAGTTACTTATGCTAAAATAATACAACACATTGACATAATACGATATATTATATTGAATAATACAATATTACATGATAATCGACAATACTATATAAACTTTAATATAGAGCCCGATACAAAGCACGTACCTAAATATAAATATAATTTATGCGACTATAAAAAGATGATAAATTTCTTTAAAAACAAAAAGTACAATCATAATCAATATCATAAATTTAATAGGTGAAACAACAGTCGATCATTAACGGACATGATGGCCATAAATAGTTTTTATTTGGCATTTTCGGCATTATCAAGATGAAATAAATAATTTAACCAACAATAAGAGCGTGTAATAATATTGCAAAATTCGTTATTATGTTCAATACATAATTATTATTTTTATTATAATTGCTTTAATAAATAACCGTCAACGTTCAACCAAAAATAAACTATTCGTGGTATAACACGAGTATACTATGGTCATCTATTTTTTTAATCTCTATTGAGAGCATAAAAATTGTCGTACAAGAAATTCAGTTATGTAAAAATAATTAATAACGACCTGTTATTCAAACAAATCCTTTGAGTTTAGTTTTGATTTAGATTTGAAAAATTAAAAAAATAATACTTGAAAGGAAATATATATGAAGTATATATGTATAGCCGACGATTTAGTGGGATTTAGTGATCTTGGATTCCATCGATCGATCGATGACCGGCAACAGAATATTAAAGATCTTATCATAATATATTTATTTGATTTTCAAATAAACGATTTTCACTTATGTATTACAATCGAATAGACTGTGCATTTAGTTAATTTTTATTAGTAAAAAAAAAAAAAAATAAAATAAAAAAAAAAATAAAAAAATAAAAAATACTCCATTTTTTTGTTGGCTATATTACAACTGGAGTATATTACACATTGTGACTATTACAAATGGGCTACAACAATACTGTTGGGCCATTGACGACATAAATATAATAATAAAATAATATTATACTAAATTATCATTGTTATTGATATGGTAATGCCCTATCGAGACGTATTCGACGAAACGCTTATACGATCACTTACCCCGACAGTCACAAACGCCCTATCGGACCCGTATACGTTTTTAGCGATTATAAAGTATGTTCCAGCGTCCGAAAGTTGCGCTTTTTTGATCGACAGCTTTACGTAGTCATTGACCGTCTCTTTTAGCGACCTATTCAGGAATGTGACGTCTCTCCAACCTCTCATCCACACCACTAAAACGAGATAATTGTGAATATATAAATAAACAGAACATTGCAATGTATATTTATTAAACAATGTTTGGCATTAATCATTTAAAATTAAAATTAAGTTTAAACTTTAAGTTAATTATTCGTTACTTTATTTTGGAACTAACTTTTTATTTTATAAGTTACTTTTTTTAATACACACATGTGTACCCGGTGTGCAATAGTGTAACTTCTACTACTATGTGGTATTCCGTTTAGATCTCAAATGTGACCTCCCCATTTTATATCCATTAGCCATATCCTGAGAATCACTAAAAACTTATCGGAAAAAGACTTCCATACGTAGACACATTTAGATTGAAAATGTAATGTAAATTATTAATCTGTATGCGAAGTACTGTTTGGGTTCCAAAATTGACTATACATTTCAATTTCTATGTGTCATCGCATGAAGTTAGGGATAATCTAGTTACATTAAGGACTTCCATGCGTAGTTCAGTTTGTAATGAGTAATGACCAAGTAAAAAATAAAAGACCAAAATATATGTATATAACGTTTTCTTGCGGTCTTAAAATTAACGAAACATAATTTGAAATACTAGTTTTTAATTTGCTTAGTACATTATATTATTATAGACTATAGTAATAACTATATTGATACAAACGGCACCAGTCGTGCCTCTATAGTGATTATCGGACCATGGGTTTTTGTTGAATTGGTAAATCTATATCAATTATTTACAAAATAAGATTATATTTAACATTTTCATTATGCTTATAATGACCATAAAAGTATGATAAGCAAAGTAAATGGAAAAACGCGCATTTATTGATGTGTTGTGTACGTTGCGGCTGTATAATAATAAATTATTAGAATTATTACGAAGGGTTTTACCCCCAATATCATATCAAGTTGTATCATTCTAAAGCCCGGTTTACACGTAACGACTTATTGCACGTTTTGCTGGACATATAAAATGAACAATAAGACGTACATTTTATAAAGTGTCCACGTTACAACTTTTACTCAGTTTTCCATCCCAGTTTCAATTGTATTTCTGATCATTCTTCAATAGTGTTCAGTTATTTTAGTGATGTTTGACGATATGGAAGAAGCACTATTGTGGTTTACCATGATGTTCCTAATACCTACGTGTGCAACAGAATTTCGAAGATCAGACATGTTCGCAAGAAAACAAAAAATACTACGCGAATCAAATTTTATATTATTTATTAAATATTATAGGTTAATGAAACTACTACTATTCTTCACTTGATGACATTGTAGTTTGTACTATATAAATTAATTATACTAAATAATTAATATATTACAATTAATATAATAATTAAATAATATAATACTATGGCTGTTTGTTTAAATATAATATTTAAATGTAATCAACCGATTATGTGATAAGGCAACTGTAGTGATAGTGTAATACTTATAATAATAGTGCAGATAAGAGGCGCTGTCTCTAGACGCTCGTGCTCAGTATTGTTGCAACCGCGCGCACGATTGATACAAGTTTAGTGTATAATTATTTAATAATCATTATTATTCGTTTTCATTTAAATTTTTCGAAATGGAATTGAGTAATGAATTGTGTCTAGATTTCATTCAACATTACCAACAACACCCAGTGCTATGGAATCCAAAAAATAATTATTATTTTTCTAAAAGAAAAAAAAAAAGAAAAAAAAAGAAGCGTGGAAAATTATCTCAAAAAATTTAAATAGGGAAGTCGAAGATATTAAAAAAAAAGTCCTAAGTTTGTTGGGTTCTTTTCGGCGTGAAAAAGTCATTTGAGTGACAATAAAAATTAAATAATTATTATTAAAGTTTTAATTTCAAACACAGTATACGAAACACAACATACACTGTATACGTTCACCACACAACTGAATATCCGGAGCGCAGATTTATCGCATACAAGCTTGTTGTGCGTGGTAAAGTCCATACTGAGCACACACAACACACAACGTGAGCACACATGCTCGGTCTATGCGTGCTCTAGTGTGTACGCGGCTTTACATGTTGCGTGCGTGAGACAGATCGGCCGTCGATAACCGTGTTTGCGATATCGAGAAATAGCATATTTCGATTACTATTTACAATTTAGGTAGGTACTTAATGATTTGCCTCTAATCTAATCTGTTTTAAATGTTCGTATGGGAGCCGTATATTTTATTTCAAAATCAAAAGGAGCCGTGGACCCAAAAAGGTTGACAACCACTGGTTTATATATTATAATATACCATAAAAATAAAAATGTATTGCAAATTCAAGTATATTTACCACCAGTTTCGGTTAACCATCACCGCTATATTTATAAATACGTTATTGTATAATGTATAATGCTAATACTTTTAGTGTATTAACTTATTTATTACAAAGTGCCTCAGCAGGGTGTCCCAGTAGTATAGGTCTAGGAATAGGTAGGTAGGGGTGTAGGGGTGAACGGTTCGAATCCCGATGAGCGTGAAAAGAATTTCTTACGGTTTTTTTTTTTTTTTTTATTTTCTTGACAAAAATCATTGCGAAGTCCATGCGCAGAAAATGAAAAGTTCCGTTAATTTTTATGTACTAACATTATTAACCTCTCAATATGACATTATTGACCACTCATAATAATCACATGTTGATATTGCATACAATAACTTCATTCAACCTAGGGTTAAACGTCCATAATACATCTCTGAGAAGGCAATAGGCACTGATTCGTTACTTCTCAACCATCAGTGTGACAACTATGCAACTACTATGCTATAGGATCAGGATTTTGCGCACCGGGTAACGTGTTAAATTCAAGTTAATTATATACAGAAGTAAAAAAAATCAATTTCATCTTCATATAAATTAATTCACCATATAATTATATTTATCTGAGAAATATAACAATAGTAGCATTACAATAGTCTTTATAATAATGGTTGATAAAACAATTCAAATAAGAAGAACTAATTTGGTGATTTATTTAAGGTTAGGTTAGGTTTTACATTAGGTTATGTGTATTTAATGAAAATTGTTCTTTTATCGCTAGTAACAAAATCAGTGGAAGTAAGTTAATACATTTACTATGTATACACCATAATATATAAATATATGAAATATATCATATATTGAAGTATTTTATTAACAATTTAATACCACTTGTATATATAGAAATACTCCAGCTTAAAATTTGTTATGGTATTATACTTTTTTACGGTTAATAATCAAGCTCCCTTTTATATTCCTACTCAATTCATTTTATACAGTTAAAATTATAAAATGGATATAATGCTCAGACTGACCAATCAAATGACCTTTGCTCATCTTCTTTATTACGTGTACTTACGATACTTATTTGTATTAATTGTATATTGTGTATTACTTGTGTATCCTTTTAATTACTTTTACTAAATATTTTAATTTTAGAATTTTAATTCACCCATAAGTATTATTGTTATTAAGTTTATATTTTATGTTCAAACTGATTGTCATTGCTGATTTGCATTTATTAATAAAATAAATATAAACAGCATAATACGAAACCTTCTCATATTTTAAATGGTATGTTTTTTATATTACTAATTCATTAACACGAGACTCATATTTCTATACCATGAAAATCACTCAGTAAGAATTAGATTTCGATCGAGGTTAAGTTAGTTAGTTGTTTTTGTGTAAGAAAAATCTAATAAAAATATCTAAAAAGCTATTAAAAATATCTAAAATTCTAAAATAATCATTGTCAAAGGTAATTCGAAACAAACAATTGTACCTTTGGGTTTTGGTTCACCAGCCACTCTGAGTGTCACGGTAATGTCTTCTCCAACCGCCACGTTAAGCCGATCATTTGGTCTTGACACAATAACAGCCGGTTTCACACCCCTATGCTCGGAGTAATCTTGGGGTGATACTACTTTGACAGTCTTTTCTACGTTCGCCGTGCCGTAAAGATTGCACGCTCGGCACACGTATGTTCCACCATCCCTGGCTGTGCTGTCCTTCACCAGCAGCGTGTGAAGTTCACCCTCATCTAGGTAAACGTATTTGGTGGACAACCGCGGTAATGGTCTTGATTGCCACATCCACGATACGGTCGGAAACGGAGAACCTGTAATATACAACATACATTTTTTGTTGCTCGATATCGAATCTTTTAAGTTATTCTACTGTATTTTTAAAATCCTAACATTCATTACAAAAGGTAATTAGCAAAAAAAAAAAAATTGTGTGGGAACTGAAATAAGTGAATTACAGTCTCTAAAAACTTCAACATAACAATTTAGTAAAATATCATGTCATAACGATGTTATTTTTATGTTTCCGTAGATAGGTTATATTGATTTGTTAACAAAACTTGTGATGTCTTGTAATTGTTTCATAAAATGTATTTCTCTAAATTGACTTGAGAAAAGAAGAGAACAGTGTAATTCTGAGTTACACAATCCTCAAACATTGTTAACCAATTATCAACTACAGATGATAATTTCATTCGCCTTTATAATTTAGAATATATAAGTAACACGCACTGAGTACAAGATATCATTATATCATTCATAAAATGATTCATGTTATTGATCATAATATTCATGATATTATCATAGTACTAAAACGTAACACTATTGTACTTAAAATTAAGCAGAATAATAATCAGTCATTTATATAGATATTTTACTAATATGGTAACATTACCCATTCGCAATGCAATGTGAATACATATAGACGGGACTACACATGAGAATGTGTAATAGTTATGCAATCAACTCGTTGGGTATTATTAACTCTAAAAATTACCACTGACCTTGGACTCGAACTTGTAGCGCGATCGTTCCTCCATACGTTGTTATGTCATCAGTGATTACAGTTGTCACGATCTTTGGATATTTAGGATACCTTAACACATCATTACATGACCGCCAGTCGCTAGTGATCCTGAAGTTTCGTCGTAAATCGTCACCACTCCACTGATAGAGTCTGTCGAGGCTCGTCGACTTAAATCCGTCCGCTGACAACGATGCCGGCTGCAATGATCTTTTCGGTGCCACTCCGAACAATGTTGGTGACGTGTACACTGTCAGGAACGCGGTGGTGGATATCCGATCTCCGCTATTAACAGCCACACAAGTATACTCGCCGGAATCGCCACTCTGAGCATTGTCAATAATCAGCTGAGCCAAACCATTCGTGAATTTCGTCTGATATCTTATAGAAAAAAATATAATAAAACGAATGAATTTTCTCTGTGTTTTTTTTTTTTTCTTAAACACCTGGACTTACCTCGCGGAAGAGTTATACGTGAAACTGTTTAATTTCTGACCGTCCCGATACCATTGAACGCGTGGCTCAGGATAACCGATGATACTGCACCAAAACTTGACTCTAGTACCAGAAGAAACTGTCTGGTCCATCAGCCGCACGCAGAAGTACAGTCTTTTGAAAGTTTCCTACAATAGAAAAATAATTCAAAACGATTAGTGCCAGTGCGATAAACGTGTATCGCTAGAACCATTCTTTATAACTACCTTGGTCCGATCCAAGTCATCTTTGGTCACTGACCATTTTCTATTCGAATAATTATCCCACGAATCCGACCTATGCAGAAAGCTATCAGAAACCCGCCGTCGACTCCTGGAGTACCACGAAATATCGTCGTCATCCAACCGGTGGTGCGTTCTTAATGTCATCTCCGAAGGACTCCGGTACATGGCGTTCACGGGTGAGAGATTTCTCTCGTAAAACTTGTTCGCTGGTCTCACCGGTTCCGCGTAAGAACTGAACGATCTGTCACCACGGTATCGTTCCTTTTTCCCGCCGATACCGGTCGTGCCCGCATACGTTTTCGTCAACTCGGAGAACCTAGACAACTCGGGTGTAAGGGATCTGTACGATGTTTCCGGCGTAAATGACCTGTACGTCAGAGGCGTTTGTCGTGATCTGTACGCGTCCGTCACGGTCAGATAACGGGGGCTCGCGTCTTTACCTCGTGACAGTAGTTCTTCCGATCTGGCTGACGCTGTGATTTTCGTTATGTTGGAAACACCACGGTCTTCATATCCGTGACACGGTGTCGGCGACCGTGTCTCGAAGTTCCTCCTCCGAGCAACGGGTGCGTCGAAAATTTTCGTGACGGTGTTGATGTGGTTCGTCCATTTTCCCGAAGCGACCTTTTCATCTTTAGCAGTGATTTCGGCAAAACATTTTTCTCCGTGCCGTTCGCCATCATTCAGAACAGTTTGTTTTTCTGCGGTGTCGAACGATTTAATTCGTCCGATCTGATTCGCCAAGTTTTTATCATAAGATTCGTTCGAATCCTCTTTAGTTACTCGGATTTCGGCTGTTGTTTCTTCCACGCTGGATTTTCTCGGGATAACACGAATAGGCTGAACGACTTCTTTGTTCTCGCGTTTCATTTTGTTTTCTTCGAAACATTTTACCTGTTCTCCTTTTGATTTCTTTGACTCCGAATTCTTTCGTTTATTCTTGTCACGATTCGAGTTTTCCAGTTTAGTAACGTCTAAGCAACTATCCACTCTTTGTACACATTTCATTTCTCTTTTACGCTCATCTTCAACCGAGTCGTTTTCTTTAGTATCGATACTTTTCCATTTTTTGTCAGTCTCTACGTTTGCTGTTCTAACCAAATTTTCTAGCGATAGTGATTTTTCACTTAAAATTTCATACTTAATTTTCTCATTGATATTATCTTGATTGGTGCTAGAATTTTCGATGGCATTTTTATCCATATCCATTTTTTTCGGCTCGTTTTTATTTTCATCGTTTATTTTAAAAATGTCAGTTGTATTGTTTTCAGGAATCACTTCTTTTAGAATTTGAATTGTTTGTTTTACATTATCCAATATGATTTCGTTTGGCATTATACTTACATCGGTTTTATTAGTTTCATTCGTTTCTTTTTCTGCCATATCTGATAATTTATTGCTGGAAATATTTTCATTGTTTTTTCCATCAAAATCTGTATTAGGCTTCACTTCAATAACTTGTTCGATTTTTTCATCCCTATTTGTTATCGCCATCAACTCATCGGATGACGCCAAATTTTCTGTTGGAGATAATGGACTTTTTTTCTTCTTTTTTATGTCTCGTTTTTCCTTATTACTATCCTTATTGGTATCCGACTCTTTTTTCATTAATATTTTTTTGTTAATTTCAAATTTATTTTTTTCTTTTTGTTCATTATTTAATATATTTTTGTTAGTATCATTATTAATATTTTGTAATTCCTTCAAAGTATTTTCATTATTTTTCAAAACTAAAACTTCCTCTAATTTAGAGTCAATTTCTTTCATTTTTTCTTTATCTTTTGTGTGTTGTTTACTATTTTCTTCAGTAGTTGATTCAATGATTTTTAATTTTTCTTTTTCCTCCTTATTATTTTCTAATAGTTCATCAAGTGATGATAATTGTTCATCTTGGTGCTGAAGTCTTGTATGTTTATTTTCTTGTATTGTTTTATCTATATCCACCTCATTTTTTACCAATTGCATTTTATCTTCATCAAACACGTTATCTTTATGATTTTCAGTTCGTTCATCATTTTCAACATTTTTTTCAGTTTCTTCTACTACATTTTTATCATATTTATTATTTGATGCTATCGAAATAATTGTATTGCTTTTCTCTAAGGAATTTAGTTCCAAATTAGATTCGATTTTGATAACTTTCTCGTGATTTTCCAATAAATATCTGTTACTGTCTTCTGTTTTTGAATCAATGGTTTTCATTTCTTCATCAGTTTTACTTTTACTCTCACTATTTTCCAACAATTTATTAGGTGTTAGTAATTTCTTATCTAGCGTCTGTGTACTTGCTTTCTTTTTCTTACTTCCTTGTCTTTTTTTATCAGTATACTTTTCATCATTCATTGGTTTTATTTGGTTAGAATCAACTTGGCTACTCTTTTGATTTTCAATTTGATTCTCATTTGACTCATTTGAATTAACTTTTTCAATACCTCCCGAAACCTTTTTTACATTTTCTAAAGATATATTTTTATTGGTTTCCTCAATATCTTGTGATTTAATTTCAAATTCATGTTTTTTATCATTTGATAATTTTTTAGTTGCCTCTTCAATTTCACAAACAAATTGATTTTTTTCTTTCGATTCGTTGAAATTTTCAATAATATCTGGTGGTGATTTATTTGATTGCAAGCTTAAACTTTGTTTTATGTTTTTTTTATTATCAGTCTCTTTGGTAGTTTCTTTATTCGTAATTTTAATATCTTGAGTATCATTAGTAACGTTTAAGGTAGGTTCATTTTCCTTAGCCTGTGTATTATTGTCATTCAAAGGACAGATAATATCTGTTGATATACTCAAATTTTCAACATTTATATTATCTTTGTTTAATGATTGTTGTGTATCAAAAATCGATACATCATTATTTTGAGGCTCTTTGAAAATGTCTTCGTCACTTTCTAATTTTACTGGACATTTTTGAATAACTTCTTTTTTAATTTGTTTATTTTCTTTATTTAATTCATCATCTTTTTCATTTTCATTTTTTACACAATTACTTGTTAATATATTACGATTATTTTCTTCATTTATAACCATCGAATCGTCTATAAATCCACTTGACTCTTTTTCAGTCACGGAATCGTTATTATTTATAGTTAAATTAGCATTAGGAGCTTTCAAAATATCAATATTTTTCATCACAATTTTGTTTGAATGTTCATCAATCGTATCTATAATTGCAGTTTCCAATAAACTACATAAGTCAAATAATGAATTCGACGAATTTTCTTTTACACTGTCATAATTCATTACCATATCTCCAATCACAGCGGTATTTAACTCATGCTCAACCTTTGCGTGTTCGGTAATGTTTTCAATGCTACTACGTTCATTTTGTTTTAGAATATTTGCATTCTCAAGAGCAATACATTCAGTTTGATTAGCAGCATTTTGTTCAATATAATGCAATTTTGGTTTTATGGCAAGGTCATTTAGATCTCTATCAACAACCAGATCAATTATTTCATCTTCGGTTAAGGATTCGCAAAGTAAATCTACTTTAATTTCCAAATCAGATACATTAACTCGTTTATTTATTCCCTTATTATGCAATATGTTGATTTCGTTTTTATTTAATGTCATTTCATTGAATTCGTCCGTTATACATTGTTTGTCATCATTATTGATAACTATTACACCTATTTCTTGCTTTCCTTGGTCGTTTAATATTGTACAATTGCTTTCATTATCTGATTTTAATTTTATAAGGTTCGCTGTATGTTCTAGCTCATTATTTTCATTTGTACTTTGATTTAAAATATATTTTTCATCTGTATCATTACCTTTTTTGCTAATACAATATTCATTTGGTGAATTTTGATTTAATGGGAAATTAATACTCGTGTTCGCGTTATCTAATAAATATTCAATTTTGGTAGACTCAAAAACGTTTGTTTCTATGTTGGTGGGTTTATTTACATTGGTTTCTTCTGGGTTTTTTGTTGCATCTAATGAAGTATCATTAATCATGCTAATATTTTCCAAATTCTTTGATTCAGTTACTTCTTTTTTTATATTTTCGGTATTTAATTCATTTTCTTTTATTTTTTCTATATTTTTGTCATTATCATTTAAAGATTCAAGAACATTCATTTCAGTAATTTCTATAACATCCACTAATTTTTCCGTGAATATTTCACTTACATTTTCCATTGTTGTATTGCAGGGACTCAATGATTTAGTTTCATCAATATCCAAAATATTTTCATTTAAAGTACCCTTACATTCATCTATTGATATTGATACCGAACTTTGATCATTAATCGATTTATCATCATCTTTATTAAACTTAATTTTTACCCTATTTTCATCATTTTCTTCGATTGTCTTCGATTCAGTTTCGTTGATTGTATTAATTTGTGTACTTTTTTCATTCAACTGTGTTTTTGTTATTGAACTTGCGTTCTCTAAGACATTCACAGTTTGACTTTCGGTTACTTGTGGATATTGATTTACATTATTTTCATCTAAATAACTGTTACATACTTTTGACTCTTTCGTAGCTTGCGTAAAGTCGACTGCAATAGTTTCAGTATTATTAAATTGAATATTATTTTGATTTGAAATTAAATCTCTCTGATTAATTGAATTGTATTCAATATTTTCTTCCAATGGAAAATCATTTGAATCGTATGAATGTATTATATCAACACATTTATCTTTTTCAGTGCTAATATTCGTAGATTCCAAATCAGTCTGACTATTAACTAATTGATTTTCAGTCATACAAGCTTCAATACCACTCTCATAATATAATTTTGGTTTTGTCGTTAATTTTTTCTCAACATGGTCCGTTCTTGTGACATTTTTGTCTTTTATATTCGTGGCTAAAATTACTTTTTCATCGTTGGATTTAAGAGTCTGAATTTCAATTTTTTCATTGGTAACATTTCTATTTATTTCTTTGGTATCATAATTTTGATTTAATTCAGCTGAATTATTTTCTGTTAATGACTCATTATTAGGTTCATTTTTCTCTTCTTGTTCATTGTCTTTTTCTTCATGGATCAAATTTTCTATAAATTGCTCCGATTTTTTATCAATGATTTTAAAATTGTTATCGATGACTTCCTTGATGGGTCTAACAAATTCAGTTGAATTATCTTCTTCACATTCCAATACCATATTTTGTGCAATTGGAACGTTTAACGAATCAGTTCTGAATTTAATAACTTCTTTTTTTAAATTATTATTCTTACTTATAATCTGTTCTTCTCCGTTTCTATCTTTTGTCTCTAACTGTTCTGAATTATTTTTATTATCTTCTATATATCCTAAAATAATTTCTTTTTCACGTATAGCGTCTTTTCTATTATCTTCATATTTCACTTCAATTTCATTTCCTTCAAATTGTTGTTGGTCTATTAGCTGAATGCTTTCCGAAGCTATGATTTCGTTATTAATTGATGCAATATTCTCTATGGTCAATAATAAAGGTTCTTTTATTAGTTCTATACCTTTATTTTGAAATTCACATACTCTATCATTAATTGCATTGTTATTTTCTGAGACTGAAGCTTGTTCTAAACCTTCGATAGATTTATCGAATACATTAATGAATACCCCACTGTTTTTACTTTCTGTTGTAGATTCCAAGATATAATTTTCTTTGTTCATCTCATTGGAAAATATTTCTTCTTGATTCATAGATAAATCAGATGAAAATTCAAATTTATTTAAGGAATCGTGTTTTGATTCAGTTATTAACACTTCTTTAATGCCATTATCTATGTTCGATATGTAACTTTCACTAGGTATTTTGCGTATTTCGGTTTCATTATTTTCAGTATTAATCAATTTATTAACCATTAAAACGTTTGAAATATTTTTAAGTAGTTCATTATTCACATTCAATTCCTCTTTCGGTACTTCTAAATTGACAACTTGAATAGCATCTTCAATGTTTGATAACTTCAAATCAACATTCTTGTCAATTTCACTCACATTTGATAATATTTTACATTTTTTATTTGATTCTTCAATTTTATTCTCTTCCGTACCATTTATAATATTTACAAAACTTTTTTCTTCTATAAATGAAATTTGCTCAATATTTTTCAATTTATCTTTCATAATGGATTCGTTTTCAATTTTATTAGAACTACATAGAACGTCATCTTCGTTTGAATTAATATCTGTCTCTAAATTTGTGTTTTCTTTATCTGAACACATTATTAGTGATAATTCAGATGACTCAGGTACACTCATTTTCTCACCAGTAGTAGAACTTAAATTCACACTTTCTTGAAAATCGCCCTCTGATGTTCCATCTAGACCAGCATCTTCTAATAATTCATCTTTATCAAAAGGTTCGTCAAATTTATTTTCTCTCAAAATTACGTTTTCTTTTAAAATATTACATTCATCAATGATCGATTTATTTTTTGAAATTATTATTAATTCATGGTTCAGTGAAGATATACATTCTTCACTTTGATCAAATGTTTCTGTAAAGGTGTCGGCGTCGAAGGTATCATTTTTATCATTATCGTTTAAGTTTGATACACATTGTTTTATTTCATTCGGACTTTCTTCAACAATCGTAGTATCAACATTTCTAATCATCAAAGAGTCTTCTGTTGTATTCTCATTTTTACAGTCAATATTTACTATTGAAATTGTGTTAAGTTCTATTTGATTATTGTTATCAGCTAGAAATAAAGATTTTCTTCCTTCTATGATGATTTTGTTTTCTGTTTCTGAGTTTATGGCAGTATTTATTTCTTCTATAATGTCGTTATCTAATTTTTGTTGACCATTCTCCAAGACAATTAGTTCTTTAAAGTTCTCAATTAAGGTTGTATTAACGTGTGGTTCTAGCACAGCTATTTTATCAGTAACATCTCTCATTAAACTATCACAATCTTCTATTTCATGGGATATATTAACTATATTTTCTTTAGATTGATTAAATACATTGTCAGAAACTTTATTTGTTTCCAAAAAGTCAGAGAACTTATTATTTTGTTTTTCTGATGATTTTATATCCTGTGAATGGATCGTTTCAGAAATATCATTTTTACTTTCTATAAATTCGATAGTATCCAAAGTTTTTAGTAATCCCTTTGATATTTCGTTATTAAAATCTAATTTTTTTATAACTGTTCCACTATTTTCAATAGTATTTTCAATTTCTAGTTGATCATTGTTTATTTTTATAAACCCATCTTGTACCTGATCTAAAAAATCTTCTCTTTTAGAAGTATTTTCATTGTTAATAACCGTTGAAGACGTAAATGCATCATCAACAGTAGTTTTCATATTATTCACGTTATTACTCTTAACAGTTTTCATTTCAAGTGAATCAGAGATTTCATTGTTCGTAATAATCGTGTTGTTAGATATCGTTTTATCTGAATCTACCAATTCTATCTCTTCGATAGAATCTAAGTCTTGAATTATTTCAGAAACCTGATGAATTTGATTGATTTTCAATGTATCATTATTACAAACGTCTGTATATTTATTAACAAATGTGTCATCTTGTTCTAATTCTAAAATTATTCCATCGTTTTGACAATTCTCCGTAATATCTTTAACAGATTGTAACCTGTCTTGTTTTATCAATACATTACAATTTCCTTCATTTTCATCCAATGAATTATTTGTTAATTTATCAATTTGACTAATTAATTCCTCAGAACAATAGGAACTATTTTCTTGTAAATTGTGAGTCTCTTGTGAGTTTTCGTCCGATGAATTCATTTCTATTGTTTCATCAAGTGTTGCTTCTGTTATATTTTTTAGCGTTTCTTGAATTTCATCAAAAAGATCATCGGACGAGTTTAATATCGAATCTAATTCAATACCCTTTTCAAACGATGTTAACACATGTTGTGGAATAACATTATAATCATTTTCTTCATTAATGGAATCAATACCTGATTTATCCATTAACACTTCTAACGGTTTATTTTCAGAAAACACGATTTTATTAGAGCGTTCATCTTCGATAAAATCACTAAATGTTTCCAAATCTGTTTCATCAAACAAAACTTCGAAACCTGAATTTTCACGGTCATCTTCAGTCATTATAATACTGGGTTCTTCGTCTTTAAACCGTTCTTCTATATCAAATTTAAAATCTGGTTTTGGTACTAAATCACTTTTTTCATTATTTTCTAAAAGCATAAAATCATTGATGATTTTTGAACTACTTGCTTGAATTTGAGCATTATTGTCATCATATTCCTTAGTCATATTATCTAAACCAGATAATTCAACTATTTCTGATACTAATTTATCTTTTTCAGGCTTATTAAAAACAGTTTGAGCATTATTTGACATTGATAAGCTTAATGATTGTGCACCACCAGTAGCATCTGTGTGTTCTGAAAAACTAAGATCACTTTCAACTGAGGCCATTTTAGAAACAATCAAATTTTGAAGATGTAACAATGGTTTCAAAACACTACCGAAAAGTATTCCATTTACACCTAAATCGTCAATAGCATCGTCAAAAAGAATATTTTGCATCATTTTTATTGAAGACTCAAATGGTATTTCTTTGTCTGTTTCTTCTATAATCGATTGATTTATGATACAGCTGTTGAGTTGAACAAGTTGATGAGATAAATGTTCAAAACAACTTATAACTTCGTAACTCATGTTTGAACTGGTTTGATTAGATAACAAAACTTGATTGACTTGAAATAAACCAATTTTCATATCTTGCAGTGGCTCCAGTAGAGAACCTAGTGGATTCATATTATTTTCAGAATCACGAACGATATTTACATTGTTAATCAATGTATCTATGTCCATCATCAATTCATCAAAAAGCGTTTCAAAGTCCATCAGAAGTTTGTCATCAGATCCATAATCTGATGATATAATATTTTCCGTTGACCTACCGAGTCTTCTCAAATGACAACATAAATCATTAATCGGTTTGGTAAAAGATATGAAGCACTCGGCCAGGTTATTAGTTTCAGTGCCTTGTGAAGCGAGTATCATAAATTGATTAGTTGCGTCATTTATTTTACTATAAATATCTTTCAGATCTTGATCATCTACTGAATTTTCATTTTTCAAAGCCATATTCAGATTATCTAAAGAAAAAGCTATCGAACTAATTGGCGGTATTAACATTTGCTTCAGTTTGTGGTTACATTTTCCGTCTTCCACAGACGCTTCTTCGATAAAGGCTATGTCGTTTAAAATAGTTTCCAGTGGTTGTACCATTGAAAATAAAGAAACTAACGAGTTGACATTAATACATTTAATTTTAGAAGAATTTTGTTGTAGCGTTTTAATATATACTAATGTAGTGCCAATTGTGTTCCGGAGCACCGCCATAATGCGTTGTTCTGTAACCTGGGCCACTTGTCTGTTAACAACTGTCGTAAAATTCCGTATTTGATCTGACAAACATTTCAAAATGTCTATAGCTGATAGATCTTTGTTATTGAAAGTTTCAAAATCAAAACAAACGGACGACTGTATTTCGTTCAACACGTTGTCAGAAACACCGAACGGGTCGTCAATTTGTTCCAATGCCAATAAACTAGCATTAATCGCAGTCATCAAACTTGATACATTTTCCGTAGTGTTTTTATCTAATTCGGTCATGTCGTCTTTTTCAGTCTCTTCAATAAATTTCCACGCAAGAGAATGAAGAGCTTGAATGGAACGTTCGAGTTCAGTTGGCGAATCTGTATAATTAAAACTTTCGTGCGTATGCATTTTGACCATGGTACCCTCTAGTATGATTTTCATGTACTTCAAAAATTCATCAACGTTGGGCCTGGAAATAATTTTTAAAACGTCGTCTTCTTCTGAACTGAGTTCTGTAGATGAAACTCCTTTGTTCCTTATTTTGTTCAACATCGCCGAGTATAACCCATCTTCGTCAGACTGAGTTAAAATTTCGGCCGCGCAATAATTATGTGGTAATGGTTGTTCGTTTTCTATATCAGCTAGTGTTTCAGATACTTCTTCTTCAGTGTTGTTGCTCTCTGATCGTGCTAAAGGACCAATGGGATTTCGAGATGTCTGATGCACATTTTTTTCTTCTAAATTTAATTGAGTCAAAATTTGATCATCAGAGTCTGACATAAATAGCTTAGGCGTCTGTACTGACTGATGAGCTTCTTTTTCCGATTGTTGTTTCTGGATCACTGATGCATTTTTGGGCGTGGTTTCACTAACACTGAAAAAAATGTCTCTTTTGGAATTACTTGATGAAAAATGGTCTGAAAAATATTCCAGACTATTTTCACATAAGCTATCGCTTTTATCAATGTTTGCAAGAGTCGTATCTTCGGTTAATGAAACGCCATCAAACTGAGTATCAGATACTGGTTGTTGTTGACAAAAATCAATAGGTACGTCTATAACTAATGCCTCCATCATAACGGGACCGGAAATGGACGATTCTTTTACAATTCGCAGCGAAGGCAAATCAACGACGTTATCTTCTGTAAAATTAAATTAGAAAATGTAACAAAATAAATTATTTTAAATATCTTGATATATTTTTACTAATTCTTTAAATTTACTTTGATAATATTCAAATGTTTTTCTTTTTTAGGTTTAATACAACAAAAATTATTCAAAACAATTTTGTGTTATATAATCTTAATTTAACTAATTTAGAAAATTGTCTATAAATAGTATGAAATAGTATAAATCAACCAATATATAAAAAAAAAAATTATAAATAAAATATTACAAAAAAAACTGTTTATGTTAAAACTAATACATTCCTCGCCTCACTCAGAATATAAAATAATAATGTATAATGAACTTTAAAATGACCTGATATATGTTCAGAGAGCTCATCTGCATACATTTCAATGATTTGCAATGCTTCATCATGCGTGAGATCCGGAGTTTCATAAAGCGAAACGGTCACTTCTTTTCCGTCGAAAGAAAATGATACGTCGGCCGGTTCTTCGATGGTGTATGATTTTTCCATTTGACTCGTTCGTTCTTCTGGTATCGTTGACAATGATTCATTTCTAACGAGTTGATTTCCCACGGATAGGTACTCTTCAGAAGCACACGATTTAACAGTAGACTTATCTGATAAAAAAGACAATTTTAATCACTTGTTTTAGTTACTTTATTGTAATAATTTGCATAGAATTTACCTTCCATTGTTAACAGGGTAGCTGAGCTAGTTACAGTGCCCATACAATTGTGAGCTTGACATGTGTAAGTTCCAAGGCAACACGTGCCACTCTGTCCAGAAATTATTTTATGCATGTCACCCGGATTCAATTCTTGACCGTCTTTAAACCATTTCAGTTGCGGTTGAGGAACTCCAATTACCTAAAAAAAAATACACGCAGAAGAAAAATAAGAAATATTGACTTGCATATCGAAATAGTCTTGCTATAATTTTTGTACTTTGCATTCTAAGTTGACCGATCCCTCGTTAGAAAATGCGATCCTTAACTCCTCAAGGAATTTAGGTGGTTTGAAATGTTTAGGGATGTTTAACTTCAAAAAACTGGATGTAACAGTTTGGCCATATTTATTTACGGCTACACATTTCCATTCAGCTTGGTCATTGATTTCAAGTGGCAAAATGTTTAGAACAAATATTCCGTTGTCTTCAGTGGAAAATTGGTACCGATTTGATTCAGTTAATTCTTCGTCTTCTTTGTACCATTTTATCAAAGGAGTTGATTCCGTTGTAACTAAAAAAGAAAGTATTTTTTAAAAATATAAATATAAAAATATTTTTTATATCATAAAATATAATCGTTACTTTAAATATAACAATAATATATAACAAAAATAAATCCCACCTTTGATCATAAAAACAAAAGATTCATTGATGTTGGCCTCGGCACTTTTAAGACCTAACAAAAACCGTGGTGGCTGTGTATTTGATGTCAATTGAAGTTTTTCACTTTCGTTTAGTTGATTTTGGATGTCTTCCATAGTTAGTTCAGCTAGACTACTCGTCTCGCCCATACAGTTTCGTGCTACACAACAGTAACTACCTAGATCGTAAAATAATATTTATAAAAGACTATGAACATTATATTGATATTTAGCCCTATTCAGCCCTATAAAACGATGCCGAGTTTTACCTAAAGATTTACTTCCAGTCAATTCGTAGACGTCTCCAGGTTGAAGTTGCTTGCCATCCTTAAACCAAGAAAGTTGTGGTGTCGGATAACCAATCACTTTACATTCGAAACTCACTAGCCCTTCGTCTGTCATAATCGCTCTTAAACTTTCTAAAAATCTCGGAACTCGGTAATTTTTTGGGTCTAAAATATGTGAAATTAAATTGCAGAATTTATTGAACAATAACTATTCAAGAAAAACAATTAAGTTTCAAATATTCTTACAAGATACTGTCACAAGACAAGAAGTAACAGCTTTCACTCCCGTTAGACTTGTAACAACACACTTCCATGTTGTACTGTGATCGGCTCGTAATGATTTTATTTCTACTCCATACATGCCCATACCATCAGCTATTAGATGATATAATGGTCCTTCGTTTACAATACCGGCGTCATTGTACCACCCAACACTGCGGGGCCATGGAGGTATTTCCACTAGATGATAAAAAAAAACCGAAAACGGTATAACTTATAACAAGGATTCTTAATCGGTAGTCCACAGATACCTAGGATCAATATACGTAGATGATAACCCGGGTATATATGGTATAGCTTTAATTACTAAGTTTTTTTTTTCGAAAAAAAGACAAAAATAAATTTATTTGAAATAAGTTCATATTATTCGATGAATAAAAACCTTCGGTTAATGTAGAAATTGTTTATTATAAATTCAAAATTTTGATTGAAAATTAAATAGTTCATATAATTTATATTTATTATCATCAAAATGCGATTTATCGTTCATATTTCGATAACATTTCCAAGAATATTATTATGACAATAATAATTTCTTGTCCATATTGTAAATGTCTTATATTTTAATAGAAAGACAAAGCTTACACTCCAAACATTTCAATAAAAAGCAGTTTATTCATAGATTAGTATATTTAAAAAATATTTTTATTCATTTAAATGAAGTAAATACATCGATTCAAAAACAAGAAATGAAAATTATAGACGAGTATGAAAAATTAAATTAATTTGTACATAAAATTCCTCTATGGAAAAAAAGATTTGAATTCAAAATGTTGTAAAATATCCACTTGAACACGAACTTTCAAAAATAATATAGTTTGGTATAGATCCATTAGAACATAAATTGGTTCAGACCTTGATGAGTTTCTAAATTAATTTGGAAATTATTTAAATTATACATATAATGCAAAAGGAGAAATAAGGATAAACTATTCTTCCCTTGTAGACTTAAATTCTATTGATCATTCAGACTCGGTTAAAAATAAATAAATTAGCTTAAGATGAAAAGAAATAAAGAAATTCGGTCACATGTTTTTTAAAATGTTGGTGTACATTGATGGAAACTTATCCGCAAACAGTAATCAGAGTGATACAATTTTTGATTCAATTTGCCACAATATACTCGTATCTTTGTGAATTTAAATTTTCATCATTGGTTACAATCAAAACAAAGTATGAAACCGATCAGCTATCAAGTATGATTGCGTATTGCTCTATCCAAAATGGTTTCAGATTTCAAGACAATAATACAATCAAAACAATAGCAAATGTCACACTAAAACTTAAAACTGAAAAATTAACCAAGTCTTATTATTATGATTAAAAAATAATTTTAATAAAAAACTATTTTTTGTTTATTTATTTATTTATTTACATATTTTGTACGAAATCCGTAGTTATACTTTTTACTTGAAAGGGGTCCATGACCCAAACAAATTTAAGAACCTGTACTTAACAATAAAAATATTAAACTCATAATTTATTTAAACTGATAACTAGTTAATATAGACTAAATTTTTATTCTTAAAAAATAAAAGTGAGAAATTATATTTAATACAAATAATAATATAATAAAAAAATTGAACAAAAATTAAAAATGATTAAATGGTTAATAGTCATGAATTAATATATAAATAAATAAACAATTAGTTTATATATAAAAATAAAGAAAATCCTAAGTCTGGAATATTGTATTACAATATTTTTAAAGTATGACCGACCGGTTTCGAATAAAAAATTCATTATTAGGTACATACAAATATATATATATATATTGGTCATTATATTGACTCGAAACTGGTCGTACTTTACAAATATAATACTCCAGGTTAAGTATTTATACATATATTTATTTATTTATATATAATATACATATATTATTGAACTTAATAATTATATTTTTACTATACCTTGACATTCTAAAATTAGAGCATTCCCAACTTTTTCAGTCACATTTTTTAAACCTTTTACGAATTTAGGAGACGGTCCATAAGGTATAAGACTACAAAATGCGTTAAATCAAAAAGTTAAAGTTCTTCTTTTTTTCGTTATTTTTCTTTAAAAATTTAAGCTCGTTTACCTATCTGCGTGAGATTTGGTATCTGGTTGCATATGAGTCACTTGTATTTTAGAAGTAGACACCGCGGTGCCCATGACATTTGTGGCTTCACACGTGTAAATACCCAGGCAGTCTTCGGAATTCGCGGTCAGTGCGAATATGTCACCTGCTTTGATTTCTTTGTCGTCTTTGTACCATCGTAGCTTTGGTGTAGGCACGCCGATCACTTTACACTCCAGAGATACGATTCCACGTTGCGTTAACACAGCCCTGAGTGGTTCGATGAAAATCGGTTTTTTAAATGCTTTTGGCACTGAAACAACGCGTAGTTCACGTCAAGTCAAGGAAGAATTCTATAAATACTTTATGTGCATCGTAAAAATAAAAAAATAAAATAATGAACGAAGGAGATTAAATAGTGAGAAAAATAATATGAAATAAACATGGTATTATGGTATAATTATTATGGTTCTAACCAATTAGCGAGAGGTGAGCAGCAGTCGATGATTTTCCCGCGTAATTTTGCGCACTGCACACCCAGAGGCCTTCGTCTTCCAACGTCACCGGCACTATATCTAGACAATAAAATCCTCCTTCGTGGATATACTGGTATCTTTCGTTTTCGGCTTCTTGATTGTTATGGTACCAACGGACCTATTCGACAAACAACGAAGGTCGATTTATAGTGACGATGACAAGTCATAGAATATAGAAGAGGGCGTCTAAAAATATCAAATACATCAACAATACCGTTGCACGTGGTCTGTTCGTATATTTGTTTGTATACGGTAAGTGATACGCAGCGAGAGGCACACTAAGTTATACTATAATATAATATACCTAATACGAGTTCATGAGACGTTTCATAAGAACAATTTACTGTTGAAAAAACCAGTCTTAAACCATATAAAAATATACAAACAATTATGCGAAAATAAGTCGAAATCGAATAAGTTTAATCAACGTTATATGAATATTTAATTTATTTATATCTACTATGGAAAAAAAATGTCAAATAAGAAAATATAATTTTATACGCAGAAAAATTTGAACGAAACTGGGAGAATAACCTTTCTTTCCAAATAAAAAAAAAAATATTGTTTTTGAGCGAATATAAAAATTTTTTTTAATTAATTATTCGCTATGTTATAAATAAAGCAAAATAACAAAAACTGTAATTTCTTCTTTGTAAATAATAATATTTTTTCAGCCTAAACTTAATATTAACATAATAAAGTTGTAGTAGAAAGATATAAATATTTAAAGAAATGTTCATTTTTAATCATACTCGTGAAAGTCACGGACATTCCTAAGTCTGTCAAAATGAACAGGAGAATGGATTTTTGATAGCACATCGTTATAATATTAAACTTATTACAATATTTTAAAATCACTCACCCAAACACATTATAACATTTTAAAAATAACTCGCCCAAACTCAAACTGCCCGCAAAATGTATCAGACGAGATGCCTTTGAATACACGCGTTTCTGTTAAATACGTTTTGAGAAATACAATGCTAACGTACTTTTTTTTAAAGAAGAACGATTTCGTTAACCGTAATGGATATTACATTCACGTGAAAGTGTTACTATCAAATAATAATTATAATAACGTTGTAATACAATAAATATTGTAAATATGATATTAAATTTGTTTATTGTACTACACGATTTGTATGTATGATTTTTTTTTTTTTAATAAAAAGCAAAGAAATCTAATTTCCACCTGAACTCCGGAAGCATCATCAAGCTCAATCAATAATCTAGTTCGGGTTCCGACTCTAGCATTCAGGTCATTGAGGCGTCTCAGGAATACTGGAATCGGATCTTCTTGGCCAACGGTGCTCAAAGAGCCACCGTGGTAATCTTTACCGACGTCCGAATGGTTGCTCGATTTCATTGTGAGTGTGGTCAGAGAGTCGCCGTGGGTGGACGTTCCTCCGAAAGTAAGCGCATGACTTCTGTCTGATCTGTAAAAAATAATTAGTTACGTTTTTGAAAACCAATTTATTATATTAAACAAAAAACACCGGCTGATCGAGTAAAAATAAGTTTTCAATATTGGTTCAATATCTTGGTCTTCATTCCGTAAGATATGCGTATTAAACGCTTTTTTCGCGCATTTTTGACAGCCACTGTATCGTAAAAAAAATGATTAATTTTTGTAAGTTAACTCATGCAGTCATATCTTCATTGATTTATGATGAGCGCAATGGTCATCTGTATAAAATGATACCAAAAACACATACAATACAGCGATACAATGTTTTTGTTTTTTTTTTTAAATTTTTTATTTGCAAGGTCAAGGACGAATATTTATGTTTATCTTTTTTTTCTGCTTAACTATACGTCGACTAGAACGAACCGACTTTGCAAAAATTGTAAATTATCGTTCTTAAACTCTTAAAATATATTTTCACGCTCGTTGTTTTCGAATTAGACGCGATCATTTCTAATCAGTAACACATTATACTGTAATTAACTAGGTAGGTAGTCTTTACACGCTTATAATATACAGTACTTACGGTGGTCTCGGTCTGTGGAATGTTCCTAATAGTAATCGTACTAAGTACCAAAAAATTACGATCATCGTGCATCATCGACGAGGCATCGTACGAGAGTTAAGCTAGAGGAAACTAGGTGACGTTCGGTTGTTATCACGCGACGTGTGCCTTTTTTTCGACTGTCGGTCGACCGTCTGGCTGGCGTTAATGAAATTCATCATCACACGGAAATAAACACAGTCGACACTAACCTAAAAATAACGCGGCGGCGACCCAAACCAATCACCGTCAGGAACACGAACGTCATATGTCCCACCTCAACAATAAAATATATCATAATATCGACGACTGTGGTTATACCGGACCAATCTGCTAAAAGTGTATAATTATCAGATTATCATTATGCTGATTTATGATAGCTTAAATCTTAAAGGAATGAAGGAAAATGATTTATAACTTTATATTTTGAAGTATTCTCTTGGAGCAGTAATGTATGTAAAGAAAATAGCGCTGGTACATGTCAACAAATTGGTAAATAAAATTTTTTCATATAAAATTTATAAATATTCTGTAATAAGTTATAAAAATATTTTTCTTATAATCTTAATGGGTTCCAGAATAAAATGTAAGAGCAATTTTCTTACCATAAACATAAGTTTTAAGTCGATATTGGCTCAATGGAAAAATTTAAATTCTATGATAGTATTTATAATGATAGTATTTCGAGTTTGATAGATCGTTTACATTTTAACGAATAATGCTTATTTTTATATTACATGGTAACAGCTGTACTTTCGACACATAAATCGCAAACAGGGGAATGATTTAATCTTATTCAAATCTCATTTATCGACACTACGAAAAAAGCAATTATTAGAATAGCGACTAAGAATTAAATGTACATATATGTATTTTTATCGCGAATTAATTGCATTATCCATAAAAATATACACAAAATTCGAGTGGCCGTACTGGCTATCTCCCGAGTGAGTAGGCCGCATGTCACACTGTTTTTGTTTACAAGTCAATACATTTAAATCAGAGAGTAGTCACTATTCGTTTTTACCCTTCTTCTGGGTCAGATATTCTGGCACATTTTCGATTACAATATCGTGAAGATGAGAATTAATGTGCAGCCTCGCATAGATGTTTAAATAGAAAATATTCCGACGAGGTATAACAAGCAATTATACACAAACTATTATTATTTATAACGCAACGAAAATAGCAACACAAAGCCTTTTGGTATAAGCCATAAAATCCCTTCACTAGTTACACATAATAGTTATACATAATAAATTATTTATGTAATTTATAAAACTTAGTTTAAGATCAATGCACTTTGCTCGTGGTTTGAAATAATATATAATAATTAATAATAATACTCAAATAATATATATTAAATAGAAAGAAAAATCCTAAGGTAAAACTAAATTTTTTTTTTTATAATTAGGATTTAAATTGTATATTTAATCAATAATTCAGATCAAAAACCACTAAATAAAAAGTTGTTTAATATTATAAACTAAAAACGTTAAACATGCCATTAATATCGTATGTTTGTAATGAAAGTATGTTTGAGGTATGTTGTTTTCTATGAAAATTGGAAACTATTCAAAATTTAATTCAATAGACTTCATAGTATAATGAATTTGAATCCAAATAAACATAAAATAAAATCACCTAAGATACATGCAAAATCATAAACATTCTAAAGCTGCGTATTACACAAATTTATACGCGTCTATAATTTATACAATAACAATAACGGGCGTAGACCGATTGGGCAAATTGACCCAAAATATGAATGGTTTGGGTGATTAGTTACATACCATTTGGACGAATACATATGAACACTTTTTATAAATATTGGTACTGTTTCGTCGGGTGGATCTATCTTACACCAAATATCATAGTTTTCCGCACTGAATCAGCTTAGGTAGAAAAAGGGGGTTCTGGGTGGTCGATTAATACAGGATATATGCCATAAATTAATTAATAAAAAAATACAGAAATATAAATTATATTCAAGTGGGGGTTAAAATTCCGTCGTACTATTATCAAATAATAATAAATAAAAAAGAAAATACGAAAGTCGTTCTACACCCAATAAACGACAGTAAAAATAATACAATTTATAATAATACAATAGTATAATTTAATATAAATAATAATTATAATATTAAAGCCTGTTTCGACCAGTCATTTTAGTCGTTTTCAAATTAAGTTTGCAATGATTTTTAAATAATACTCGTATATTATTATAGTATTGCGATTATATAGTTGATAACTATATTTCTGATTTATCTCTTGATCAGAATCGATCAAATATACATAGAAAAATTAAGATAAGTGTTGTTAACAATCATATATATGAACACAATGATAATTCGATAATATTGGTTTTGGAAAAATATAAAAACAAAAATAAATTAAAATTTGTACTAAAGTTCGAGCGTACCAAGAAAAATATATTTAGTAGGTATTTATTGAAACTCCTCCATTATTATGTTGTTAGGGGCCCATTGTTAATTTTTTCCGGAGGCCCAATCATGAGCCAGACCGACACTGCCTTGATTCTACATTTTATGTGGGTTTCTTTTGACGCCGGGGCAGTAATTTCATGTTTCGCGGGTATTTCAGATATATCTGTGTTAACCGTATACGTGTATATAAATCGTTATCGTTTTATCACGGGCACGATAAACATAGACCGAGGGAACGCTGCTTACGGTTCCACGGTTGATAATCATCTGGAATGCTCATTGTTTATTATTTAGAGCGAGAAGTCAATTTTTTGAATATGAGTAAGAAGCATGACATCTCGGTAAAGTTTACAAAAATAAAACCTACTAATCGATGCCATGGAATATTTTCCAGGAATGATTTCATGTGCGAAAGAATAGAATGATATCTTAACTATAAAAATTAAACCATGAGACTAGTGCATAATGTTGTGCAAGGCAGAATCAAGGGGGTGGCAAGGAAGCTATAGCCCTGACACCGAGTTAAAAGTGGCAACAATACGTTTTATAATCGGTGATTAACAAATACAAAGTACTGTTTATCAATTAGTTGTGACTATACTACAAAATACAATTATAATATACTTATTTCAATTAATATTAACTAAAAATTACTAAATCTAAATAAAAAAATGTAATTATTTTAGGTAAAAGGGCCTTACCAAAAGTAATAGTCTCTTTTATTATGACCTTCAGAGAAAGGTACAAAATATAATAATAATAATAATAATATACACTGTATAAAATTACATACATATTAGTTTCCCAGAAATCTGACTGTGTTCTAATAATTAAAATTTGTACAATGTAATTATTATATAGTATATTATTACATTTTTTTGTATGAAATAAATTTGAAGTAAGAAAATAGAACTTGGAGCGTTCAGGCAATGGCATTTACGAAACTAAACGAATTAATATATTTTTCACTAAATATTCAAACTAAAAAATAATTATTAATAGTCCTTTGAACTTATTACGAAAAGACAAAGTGTTTGTATATTTGCATATGTTTCTTTTGAATACGATAACAATGACTTACGTTGAGAACAACGAGACTCCGAGAAAACCAGTATTTATACACAAATCATTTGACTTCATACTTATGTGAGAGGGCGCATCGAACCCCTTCCACATCAACAATTTTAACTAGAACCAAGATAACTGGGCTAATTTTTTGCAAACTACAATGGCTTTTGAGGGCAAAGGGCTTCGACTCGACCTACGATTTAGCCGTTTCCGACTTTTCATCATACACGACCAAATATCCGATAGGAGTACCCTAGTCAGTACTTACCGAACGATTGAAGAGTTGTATGACGAGAATGATCTGATTGTCGCGTTCGCGCTACTGTACGTGGATGATTGGCATTTGCAGCATTTGTTGCCCATCACGACGGTGGTTATTACGTAGCGATCAGCATAGTAAAAGAAAAATAATAATTACAACAATGCACGTCCGTTTGTTTGTGGGCAGTAGTTTTTCCTAACGAATATTGATGGAGGCAGGTGAACGGTTGGCAGCGCGAAGAAAATAATTTTTACCAACAGATTCCAATGAACATATTACTTTAAACGAAACGAATTCTGTGTACCGTGATCCGTGTCGATCACAATAGATAGATGCATGTGAACAGGTTACTAATATTTACGTGTACAAAGGTTACTGAAAGGATAGGTAGCGATGTATCAAAATTCACGCGTGGTTTTTGCACTATACCCGGGTGTATGAGTATAGTGCGGACTTGATGGGAACAAGTCCAAACGTTTGAGCGCGCGGGCCGACGGCGGACTGACCCACACACGGGATTATTTTGGGTCGCAGCGCGTTCCGTCGAGGCGGTGGCGACAGCGACAGCGATGATAATATCTACGTAGTACGAGTCCGTTTTTCGCCCACTTTTGTCACGGTTTGCACTTTTGCCACCAGATGATCGCGTAAAATTACCCGCTCAAATCCCTCTCCCTCCGCCGACGCTTCAGCGCTACCTTCTCATTGTCTTATTGCGGGTGCACCATAACACTTTTACGACTAATTGTGTCACTAAGAGGGAGATGATGCAGGTGGTGAGAATTCAATTCACTCCCCTCAGGGCCCATAATAATTATATAAGTGACTCCACCTTTTTGTTCTTGTAATTGAAAATTAAGCTCCAGGTTACACAGAAATTTAAAAATAACTCATTTTTACTTTGTTTTTCTACATTTCAAAGTCATTACATTGCCATGGGTATTTTTTATAATTATTTCCACGAAAAAAATAAAGATTGTAATAATTTTCATTATTTTTTATTATTACATTTATATCAATTTCTGTTATTCATCAAAATCAGTAAAAAATGTTATTTAAATTTTTTTTATAAATAAATATATTTATGTTTAATAGATGGAAAATATAATGATAAACATTTTCGATTTTAAAGCCAAATTTTAAATATTCAAATTTTAATTGAATGATTTTTATCTTAAGTTATACACATATATATTACTCGAACTAAAAATAATTCGGTAGAATACGATTACCTTTTACCGAATATTACCTTTTATATGCCTACCTATTTACACAAAGATGCTGCATCCAAAACGTCGCCGGTCATATACTATATTTACGTACATAGTTAAGTGCATCGGCCACCTCTTATATAAATATATGTATGCGAAAATAGAAAATTTGCCCTGGGTAAATGTGACTCTAAAAACGGTCACAAGTAGATTGTTGGACGGGTCTCGGGAAAAAAAAAATTATTTTACAACCATCCGGTAGCTACTAGTTTTTACAACTTTCAAACGGGCGACACATTGCATTTTTTCTTGCACACAATCGACCACACAACCGACACAATCGTAATGGTTACTTAATAAATAACGTGACATTTTTTATGAAACTAAAATATAATTTCAGCCCACAAATTACATGAATGATAAATTATTTTGGAAATAATATCGTCAAAAATCATTTGCTGGTAAATTAAAATATATAATAGGTACTGGGTAGAGTTATTGTCTATTGAATGTGTATAAACTATAAAATGAGAAGTTATATCACATATCCAATGTAAGTATAGTTAAAAAAAAATAATAACCTATCAATATTGCATAAGGATTTAATTTTCAATATTGTAAATGATCAAGATACGTTTCAAATGTTTCAAACAAATACAATATTTTATTCCTAATACGCTTGATAATATTTGTTGTTTTTGATGATTTAATATAAAATTATTGTTTTTTTAAAAAATTATCTGATTTTTTTTTTACAAAAAATATGCTTTTTATATTTTAAAAATATAATTTAAGATGAGGTTATTTTAATATTTTTTGAATGGACTTTTGGTGTACTATCTTTATATAGATAAATGACTATTTATCTGTGTTTAACACTAAATCAGTGGTACGTATAGATATAAATAAGACTCCATATATCTAGTATTTTATCTTTACCAGTTGTTCAATGTATTTTTTATTGAAAAATATATTTAAAAACAGTTACTGTTCTCCAAGATTTCAAAAGTAAAATATTTTACTCAAACGTTACAGAAAAAAAGTCTTTGTAACATTTGAGTACAAATATTATTTAATGATGTTATGTTATGATCTATGATATAATAATAGCAATATATTTTAAAATGAATAAATATATACTATTATTTACGAATATTGGCATAGTGATTGTTAAGTGATGAACATAGCAACCATTAGAGTTTATCTGTTTTACAAAAGAGTAATGCAAAGATTTTTATTTCTTTTGAATTCAATTCAATTCACCTATACTGAACATTTCACAGTATTAATAAATTGACCTTTAATGCGTTACTAGGTTTTAAATTAAAATCTTCTTTTAAAATACGGAAATAGTCCAATATTATAAACATCTCAAATGTTAAGTTATTAAATTTGTTTACTTTAACTGTTAAATGTGATGCGTGAAATAATTTACTGTACTTATTTATAAATAATAAATTAATGATGAAAAACCTTTAAATGATAATTAATAAGTTTCAAAAATAATCTAAAATTGCCTTATATAATAATTGAACTGTTAATGTATACCACATTGTAGGAAAAATTGTAGGCACAGTGTCATCGACTGAATGTACTCAAAATGCCAAATTTTCTTTACTTTGATAATCGTTTTTATTGTTTGTTTTGCATTATTTTAGTATATAAATCTGATATTACAATGATGCAAAGTTTATAGTCAAAAATTAAAATTAATCGAGATAGTTAGAAATAAAATAAAATAAAAATACTGTGGCAAATTAATTGTCCGGCTGCAATTAAAACTGAATTATTAATCCAAAAATACAATTTTATTATTTTCCTTTAAAGTTAGTCTAATATATTATATATAAATAAAAAGAGATGGTCATGATCCACAATTATATTTTTTGTTAAAAATGGTTTAAAAAAAATCTTATAACAATATTGTTGCCGTGGCAAATGTCATACAACAGTGTAAGGGCTGGCTTGTTTGCCGGGGAATATAATAATAACAAATATTTTCAGTGTGTACTTATGATTGATAGTGATTATTAAACATATACAATTTTATACAAATAAATACAGAAAAATTTACCAGCCTAAATGGCAGAAATACAGCGCACAAACAATAATGATAATAATAAATAAACAATGTTGGCCCTACACGTGGTACAACTAAAATTACTACAATATAATAATAAAATAGGTGGCTCACACTAAATATAATATAAATAATGAATAAATGCTCCAATGCTCTAGGTCCGTCGACCTTTACTAAAATAATACAATTAACAAAAAAAGTTGTCGACCAATACTCACGTACAACTGTGTCACACAAGGTGTGCCGGAGCTTGTAATTAATAAAACTAATACAGTAAAAAGCACAAGTTGACCCCGCGCACACACGATCGTATGCCGGCAGTAGTTGACACAGAACTCACAAGTCCCGTCACAGCACAATAGAAATCTACGATGAAAAACCATCGCTGTTCACAAATGCCGCTGGGAAGTGATCAATCTGAAACATCTGAAACGATGTGAACTGTACACGAGTAACTTTAAGTGACGTAAACGAAATACAACACAAACGAAAAACATGGTTTTGGACAAGATGACTGCCAACGGAAATGAGAACGACATTCAAGAAAACCAGCCTAAAAACATACACATCGACGAACGCGAACAAAGAGAGCGAAGGAGCGACGAAATTTTCCATAGAAGCTACGGCCGCAGGACACCAATTTTACGGTTAAAACGTTATCTCAGTGCCGCCACACTAAAACTGAGAAAACAAAGGAACTTAAGAAAACTTGTGACACTGAGAACATGAATTTTAAAACTTTTACTAAACCATAACCGAAAATATGAAACCACTGAATAACGGACATTTACGCACAATGATAACAGTAGCGTACGGTATTGGCCGATCGATACTGCAACAGCGCAACATACTGCTACGCATCGCGCGAAAATGATAAACAATGAAAACATAAATCCGATTCACGGCGTGAACCGCTATGGTATTTATTTTCTATACAACATTTGGACCCTATATAGTGCAAAATCAATGATGTTGTATGATACAATGAATTCTTGTAAAATTGCATGTAACATTTTTCACAATAATTTAATTCGCTGTTCGTCAAATTTAGTCAGTTGTGGTACGCTGATTACGTTAATACAAGCCAGAAGACGGTAGACCGTAATATTAACACAGATAATACGATAGCGATAGTGCGATGTGGTGAAAATAAATCTTATTTATATTTTAATAAAGTGAACACCTATATCGGCTATATCAGTGCTTCCCAAACTTTTTCGATTCACGGCGCCCTTCTCTAAGTCATAGCATGACTAATCATAAGGAAAATGTTAGACCCGATAGTATTTCATGACGGCGCGGCACCCTTATACAGACATTGCGGCGCACCGGGGCTTTGGGAACCTATGGGCTATATCATAAATTATTGATAAATCACAATATGAAAATATATACATATACTAATATCAATTTTGAATACAATATTATAATAGGGTTTCAGCCCCCCCCCCGTTTACACCAATTGGTAGGTGGGTAGGTACTATTAAAATTTGATATTCGCCGTACTGCATTTTTTGTAGTTCGGCGCCACTGTAAACAGTGGGTAATTGTTGGTAACTTCTAGTTTTGATTTTATATCAACAAATTTCGGTTGTTAAACAATTTAAACATTCAATAGACTTTTTTTTATTTATTATAATATGTTAAATTATAATACTGGGTAATGGGGGAGCGGCTGCCCCTACCAAAATTTTTAAATTTAAAAATTGTTGTTATAATAGAAATACCGTTCGGATGGAAAAGTTGTGAGGAATTTTTTGCATATCTGGGTTATCAGATTCCCAGTCCTGTTACCATTTAATGTTTGAGTGGAAGTTGTACGGTTTGTTGGAAAGGGGATTTACGAGGACTTAAGTCTAGGTCTTTCATTAAATGATCAAAGGTTATTCAGTATACTTACAATTAATTTACAATTCAAAATTAATGATAAATTACTGGTCGGCCGTAAAACCATACTAATAATTATATCAAAAGAATAGAAAAATGCTTATATTACAATATATTTCATAATTGTAGTCTTATTAATAAAATTAATATTGATGAATTATAGTTTTCGATAACAATTTCATGCGAAGCTCGATGTATCTATATATCAGTTACGTTTATAAATACGTTTAATCTAAATACCATGTATACAATATTTCGTTTTCAAAGTATTGAATTAAGGAATTTTAAGTATTGAATTATTTATTTTATATAAGCATTTTAATATTTAATACACTTGGAAAATAATAGTATAATAATTAATAAAGTTGCATAGAAAAAGTTTTCTAATATTCTTATAACAGGTTATAGCAAAATGTACATATTATTTAGTTTCTTGTTAGTACAGGTATTTATAGAAACAGAAAACTACTGAAACAAATCAATAGAGTTGCCAATTTTTAAATCCTTATTTCTTTATTTGTCTCTTCACGGGAACGGGAATATACTGGTTACTCTAGTTTTATTTAGATTCATTATAATTGCACGAACCCTACAAGTATAGTGAATATAATCAAAATAATTTTCATCAAGATTTGATTATTATTGATTGAAGTATCGTATATAGATTTCTAGAAATATTAAAAATATAATAAAAACCCATGATAGGTACACAATAATTAATAAAAAAACAAATTAGCATTTAATTAATTCTACATCAATTTTTTTTGCATTGCCTAAGTAGATTCAATGATTTTATATTTAGCCGAATAACCTGTAATCGTCCGAAAAATATTTGACTATGTTATTTACTTTAGAACACTTACTATTTCAATGTACAAAAGCATTTTAAAATACAATAAGAAATATTTAGGAAGTAATACTATAATAAGTATATTTTTATTATTACTATAATAACATACTATAGTAATTTAATTACCATGGCTCAATGTTATTTAAAATTGTCAAAACTAATTATTATTTGTAGTTGAAAATTATTAGGGTACATCAAAAAACAAACTCGATTTAATTCATAAAGTAGTCTCTCTCGCATAGATAACTTATCAAATTTGTATGCATCGTAATAGCTTCTTATTTTATTAATTATCTTCTAAAGAGTTATTAAAAAATATAAGCTCATCTTATTTGAAGTCAATTGGTAAAATATCTAGCACAATACGTCATTAAACAAAATTTGATTTATTCTGGTTTCTTTAATATATTTCACTAGTCTTTATAATTGAATAATCAAACGCTTTTCAGAAACAAAAAAAATATGAGTTAAACAAAATCCGAAGAGTAATCGATCAAATTCTATTTGAACTTACTATTTTATATAAGTATTATTTTCAGAAATACTTGTTAGTTTTTTAATTTGTTGTCATAAATATAATTTTTTCATTGTGTATATAATATGTATAATATATTTACAGCAATGGCAAACTAGAAATTATTTAAGGAGGGGAGGGGGGTCTAACAATTTTACTTAATTTTTTCTCTAAATATAATCATAGTAATGGACGATCATTGGGGAAGGCAAGATTGTGCACTTACTTACCCTCTTCTTTAGAGAAATAATATTAATATAAAATTGAATAAGTATTACCTTTTTGAGAATATATAGCTCATAATTTGAAAAACAAAAATTGACTCCTTTATAAAGTTTTACTTATGGGCACCCATAATCATAGTTAAATTTATAACCAACAGAGTACTATCAAATATAAAGTAAATAATAAGTTATAACTATGGCCGGGATTTTAATGCCCTAAAACTTTAATCTCATTGGCAATTATTCAATTTTAAATAATTTGTAAAGACACTGAATGTGTTTTTAAATTCATATTTTCATTATTTGCTGATTTATAAAAAAAATTTGAAATGTTTTAACATGATTGAGCTGTAGTGTGAAACGTTTTTGATCTTTTTTTGTCACTTTCATTGGGGGTATCAATTTTTTTTCGAATTCATAATAAAATTAAAAATCTTCAAAAAAAATATAAAACACAGGTATAACATAAAATAACATAAAAGTCAATTGACATTTAACAACTGATAAGTTATGTGGGTAATAGCTCCATTGGTCATTGTCTCGTTGTTTCTTATTATTGATTACAACTTCGATAGCTGTTATTAATAATTTTTGTTTTGTCAAATAAAAAATTACCTAATATCTATTTATAGATTTTTGTGGTTCAAACGAACACGGGTATGTGTGAACGTTAAAATTGCATTGATGGCGGGGGGGTCCGGACCCGAAATCCCCTCTTGGGTATGCCTCTGATTTACAGTAGGTAACCTACTATAGATTTATACGAGTTTTTTCATAATTTTCAAATAATAATGAACATAATTTATATAGTCCTATGTCTTAGAAAATGTTGCATAAAACTTTTGGTGCAGATTCACTACTTGATATAATGCTAGGTAAAATAACACCTGTAAGCACGTTTTTCTCACCATATAAACTGATTGACGCCTGGCGTGAAATTTGGGTTTTCTTCTCAACGAAGTATCGAGACAGTAGAATTATACATTCTTGATCTTTTAAAAACCGTTCTTTTATACATGTTAAACACAGTGAATCTTAATTATTATCGTTTATCAAATATAATATATAGTATATCTAAATGCGTTGTATACTCGTATACTATTCGTTCGATTTCCATCATCGTGTAAGAATCTCTAAATACATCGCCAGCTCAAGCGATCCCAAAGACGTCTCAAAGTCAATTTTAAGATTAACGATTGTTAAAATTCAGAGAATAGTATATATTATAATATATCATAATGAGATGACGTAGTGTAGTATTAATGATAACTCGAATAATTTTAAGCAATCAACGGCTCGACCAATAAACATGGCAAATCATCGACTCGGTCAAAGCGGGTGACGGTGAAGAGATAAATAGAAATGTTGAATAGACGAGACAAGTCGTAATATTAATTCGATATAATACATAGAAGATAGATTCTGAGAGTATGCAGAGGTTAAATATTACATTCGCTTCAATAATTATTGCACGTGTACAGGAAGAAGAGTAACCCCTCTTCAAAATTTTTTGAAAAAAAATTAGTTTTTAAAATCTTGAATATAATTAGAATATTTTTTTTTTAGAACTTCAATATTTTATAGTATACGCGTTTGTTGCAGCCTATATAATATTTACAGGTTTATTTAGACGTTCAACCACTAGTGCATTATTTTCGCGGACTCGAAGGTTTCCACCACCGCATAAAATCGAAAAATATACATCAACCGTCGCGCGCACGTCGCGGTGGCGTGTGGCTGACTCTAATTTTAAGCACGAAATATCCTTGAGCCAATGTATGGAAATCGATGGTTTAAAAATAAATGACCCGCCACCGGACACACCGCGCTTTCCCGTTTACCACAATGTTGTGCAAGTCATTTCTTTATATCGAATATAGGATTTTTTTTTTTTTAAATTTTCATTTTATCTTCTTACAGATAAGTTGTTACGTTTGCGGGTTATTTTGGAATCCTATTATTTCGTCCCTATCAAAGAGACGCGCTGCAAACTCGCGACAGGTTATAATTGTCCTAAGACGCAGTAACGGTGGCGGCAACGGCAACTGTCCGTTGCTTGATTTTATTTTAATACGATTTGATAAGAGAAGACGAACGATTGGACGTGTATATTTATAATTTACGTTTTTACACCAAATTAATTGAAAATGTATCTGAGATATTGGTTTTCCACCTCTCTCACCACTCTCAAATATGAACAATTTTGACTAAATCAATGATCCTGCCTGTACGGGTCGTAAGAAAATATGCAGGAAACATCGGTTCGATTACTATCGGAGTTTAATATAAGCGCGTACACAATAATAATAATAACAATAATAATAATAATAATAATAATAACAATATATCGCTCCGTAGGCGGACATACCTGAGGATTCTTTTGGTGTGCGTATTAGTGTGTTACAGTATTGTGATCGTATCCTTTTCTTGCAGCATCTCACACGCACGCGTCTCTCCTCTCGGACAACAAGGTGGAGGAATATTGGCGATAGGAAAGGGTAGGAGACACACGTACTTTGCCACTGGTATACCGTGGATCCCCCTCGCGCGAATCAGTAAAACGACGTCGTCATTCTTACAACGAAAAACATAATATGAAAACGATAATTGTACGATTACAATGACGGTACAATATGCGCGTTGCGACGCCTAGGCGAAACACCACCGTGTATTATGAGGTAACCACGAATTTCGGATTGTATCTCGACGTGGTGTGCGCGCGCCAAACCGTTCGCAGCGGCCGAGCGCCCGAAAAAGACCACTGGGGGGGGAGAGATCGGTTTTACATGCGCAGTTCACGCGGTGCACTGCGTGCGGTTGCGATTATCTCACGCACGTTGGCTATTTTAAAGTTATCGTTGTTGTTTTTTATTTTCATCATTTTTCCGTTGTTTTTGGTTTTTTTTTTTTTTTTTTTTTTTTTCCATACTCCGAAACGTATTCGCATACAGACGACTTCGTTTTGCTTGCGAAGCTGCGCAGCGCGCGCTAGCGTTTGCCAATATCGCCGTCGCGTCACCTATTGTCAGTCGCTTTTTACCCACACACACGCTGCACGAACGTAAGCGCGATATTTCGATGACTATGGGTGTATACGATTCCTCTGCACAGTAGACTTATACTCGCTTATACATACGCAGAACACGTTATTATTTTTATCCGCCAATTATGCACGTTTTTATTTCCCGCCGAGTAACGTAATGCATTACGCTTTTCTGCGTTACACTCGTATAATTTAATCTTTAATTTATCAAAAAATATACACGTATGTGTACAAAAAGTGCCCGTCGTGTATTTTATTCTTTACCTAATGCTGAAACTATATTAGACAATAAAATAATTAGATCACCGCGGGTTTTCGGCGAGAATTATTACGGTCGAAGTATAATTCATTTGTATGGTACATAAAAAATTATTGGTTTATTTGTTTCATATTTTATAACTTATTGTATAAAATATAAAATTATTTCGACAGTAGGTATTACAATAATAATACAATAATAATATACAATAATACCCAATCTGAGTAAAAAAAAAATAAAATATATTTACAATTATAATGGTATCGAACAATAAAAGTAGATATGTAGACATTAAACAATAATTTTGTACAAAAACGCGAATTCGAAGAATAAAACAAAAAAAAAAAAAAAATTATCAAATCCTATCCCAAATTTGAGTCTTGAAAAACCGGACTAACAAAAATCCAAAAACTGGTACAGACAGTTTCTCGCTCTTAAACGTGTACAACCAATATCCGAACAACGCCAGGGATAAATTTCCGAATATCTTTAAATACGGTATCGCATTATTCGTTGAAGTGTGGTCTTGCAGCATCATGGACGTTAACCGATCATCAGCAACGTTTACAACCTGATTGTCGAGATCTCCATCTATTGGCTGTTCACGTCCGTACGCCTCTTCTTCCTCTTCATACTGCATCTCGTATGATTCTAGTTCATCTTCGTTGTCGTCGTCTTGACACTTGTCTATGGGTCGATCGTCGACCAGGACCACGGGGGATTCGCACTCGACCGCAGCCAACTTTAACTGTTCGAAATCCAAGTACGTCTTGGAAGACGGTTTTTTCACTACGTCACTGTATCGCTCTAATATGTCGCCGTAATGTTTTACAACTACCATGTTCGCGTCTTCTTGCAACACTTCAGCGGCCTTCTTGTTGTCATCATCCTCGCGTTCCGGAGATCGTTGTTTCAACGTGCCAAATGCGCTGGAATTCACGTTGTTGTACCGGTCGTAATAAGATTCGTTCTGGTCCGAAAATTCCGGCATAAAGATCTTTTTCAGAACCGATTTTGGGCTGTGGTCACTAGTCTCCGTGACCGTGATGACTGGTAGTGCTAGGTGACTGCTGTCACTACCGTCAACCGTTCGTCTGGGTATTTCGGGTGGTACAATTTCGTCGGAGTTTGACGACAGCTCGAACTTCACTCGGTTATGCGACGGTGAACCTTCCGGTACCTCTACCGCTATCATTGACGTTTCTCTTTCTTTGTAGAATGGATTCGGTAACATCACGTACTTAGGAATACCGTCCCTTGGTCGATACTTCTGAGGGTCTATGGAGTTTGGTTCTGCCACCGTGCATATCTCAGTAGTTGTATCAGTTTTGTTTTTTAATTGTTGACTGTCGGAATATTCGCTGCTGCTCGTGGATTCGGTGTTCAACGAGTCTTGTGACATTTCGTCGGACTTTTCTATTTCTCGGAGCGCTGCGGGTGATGTCGACCGTTCTCTGTCCGATAATTTTTGATCCGATAAATAATCTTCATCGTAGTATACTGTGGAAAAGAAAGCGCTCGATGCTTTCTGTTCCTGCAAGGCTCGTTTTCCATTTCCAAAGTTTATGAATTCCCCATCCGAGTCATAATCTGATACATATTCGTCTTCGGATTCCTTTGATATACCCGACCCCGAACTATCATACAAGGTAAATGGTGTATTGTCATTTTTTCCTTTGTCGTTGTTATCACCAATTATTTCTCTTCCAGTATTCTCTAATACTTCTTCTATGCTATTTGCCAGCGACATAAAGCTACTTGCATTTTTTGTTCTTTTGGATGCTTCGATCACACTTTGAACAGAATCTGAATCGCTAAAAACTGACTTTTCTTCCGAACCGTCGTTCGATCTTCTAGTTATGGGAGACCGCCTTAAACTATTTTTCCTGTCCATTGCGTATATTGCTATTTTTTGAGCTTCAGATGATAAATTTTCATCGTTTTTATAACCATTGAACCTACTTAAATTTCGTTCGTAAAGTAGTTCACTAGAGCTGTACGAGTTTCTTATATGTTCTTCGAAAACTTCAGACTCGGGACCTAATTCTGGAGATGATAATGAAATAGGGGGAGCTGACTCTCGTTCGAAATTCAATTTTATTAAAGATTCTGTTGAATTTCCTAAAAAAAGAAAATTTATTTAAGTATAAAAAATACAATTAAATGGTATAAAATGACAATAATATACTTTTAGCTTTATAATCCAATACTGGCATATTTTGAGAATTTAGAGAATCTCTGGGGCTAGTTCTGCCATTATTTGTCTTCAGTTCAGGAGCAAGGCCCCAGTGGTCCTTTTGTTCGATTGGCTGTTGCCAATTTTCAGCATTTTCAGCAGATACATCCAGAAAACTCATTGATCTATAAATATCTGTCTTCGAATTGTTTATTTCATCCTTTAACTTTTTCTTCCTTCTTTTGGGTACTGGAGGTGAAACCTCATCTACACTTAATTTTCGTGGCTTAGTGGATGGCTCGGGTGATTTTGATTTTCGACCGAAAAATTCTAACATATTCGTTTCTTGAGTTTTTACCAGTTTTTCGTCGTCCTCGAATAAGAGAGATGCCGTATTGGTTTGTTTGAAAATACTGAATACAAAATGCAAAAATAAAATAAATTTATACGTTAGAAATAATAATTCTAAAAATATTATATTTGTTTACCCTCGTTTGATATCCGGCAAGAATATCGGTTCGGAAACATCACTTGGTTTACTAATACCATAAGGATTTTCTGCCTTCACCCGAAATCTGTACTCCGATCCCTCTAGTAAATCGTCGAGATCTGCTGTGAGCTGCCTGCTTGTCGATGCTTTTAACCACATGTCCCATCCGACCTGGAAATTATAATGATAACATTAATAGAACTTATTTAACAATTAGTATATAGATCGTTTACTCTGTTGTACTCGATTATGAAATTTCCAATTTTACAACCTCCGTCATCCTCTGGTGCCTTCCACGAGAGTGTCACAGATTTACCTGATGTTTTTGATACGTGTACTTTACCTGGCGGTGAAGGTCTATCTGAAAATAAAATGTACGCATAACAAGACACAGTTATAAATATATACTTGATTTAGTGATTATTTATTAATAGGTAGCTTGTGTATGTGAAATTAACAGTACGTACCCGTAACAGTTACTAAAAATGAAGCCGTATGATCACCCAACGCGTTTACAGCTTGAATTTGATAACATCCTCTATCCGATCGTTTAACGCATGCTAATTTTAAAGCAGTATATTTATCCGTATGAATAACTTCAAATCTAAAAATTAAAATATTTGCCATCATAGAATTAGTATACTACTGTTTTTATAATTTTTTTGGTCTTATTATTCCATGGAATGAAAAACTTTACAGTAATAATGTTAAATTTCAGAATGAAATATATATTTCATTCCAAAAAAATTGAGATTCATTTATAACATAATGTATGTAATCAAGCTATAATATCGAATGCGTTTTATGTACATTTTGTTTAGTTTTCTATATATTATATCTAATAAATATTACACAATTATACATTTTGATGTTATTTAATTAAAAATCTGAGTTCAAAATTTCAACATTTTTACATGTAACTTAAGAATAAAATGTAAAAAATCAAAATAAGTGTTACCTATCACCACCACGTATTTCTTCTCCATCATGAAACCAAGTTACTTCTGGCAACGGACGTCCGGTAACTGAAACTTTGAGTCTCATTGGCTCGTTTTGTTCGAAAAGTAAACCTTCTTCGTAGTCTTGTGGTAAACGGACCATTGGTGGTGCTAAAAACATTCATATAAAAATGATTAAAACAACTTAATTTTATAAGCAAGCAACAATAATTGTTTTTTGATTGCTACTTTAGGAAAAGGTGAAAATACTCGTATACCGGGTTGCGTATGGTTTATTGCATAAACAATTATCTTTTATCGTTTTCCTCATCATCTTTTGATGAATAACATGTTTTTAAAATGGTTATTAATATTCCAAGTACCACAAAACCACAAAGCTTAATTTTGTGTGTTATAGTACACACATTGTGTATTAGCAAAAGACAAGTGTGGAATAGCAAATTCGTGTATGTGTTGTTCAGTAGCGTACTTAAACTTGAATTTTTTTTTTTTTGGGGGGGGGGGGGTATAATATTTAAATAAAAAATTTGGTAATCCTGAACCAAATAAAACATATCATACATTTTAATAGATTATTTATTTTTATTCATTATTATTTTTAATAAATTTTTGAATAAAAAAAAATGAAATAACGCGTGCTAGTTCCGTTCATCACTTACTTTAATAAGTGATATATAGGTTAGTTAATAATTCATGTGCTTTCCACTTCCATTTTCAATTCAACTTGCGTTTCAACATTCAATTACACTTTCATCTAACAGATGTCTATATTGCATGTTTTTTTTTTTTTGTTCTCAACATCACAAATCAGTCGACTTCCAGGTTGTTACCAAAAAATCAGTCGGATTCATATGTACTCTTCGGTGTTAGTGCGTTCTACTTAATTATTGTTAGTGCAAATAAAAACCATAGAAAAAAGCGTTCTTTGCGGGTCAAAAATTATTTAAAAACTCGAGTATTTGGAATCATAGATGATTGGCAATCATACGAGATATTTTATTTAAAATCTACTTTTTAACTCCTTTTATGACCCATTCCATTCCTGGTCCCTTATTTCTCTTAAACAAATTGGCACCTACACTTTTCTAATAATGCGATGAACGCCTTCGGGTACCCACCGACCGTCAAACACGGCGTACTGCTAAAGTACGGCGGGTATACGTCTCAAACGAGTTGCTAGTTTGTGGACTAGTCAAACCCGGCTGCAGAATGCTGGGACATCCTGGAATTCAATGTACCGTCATCACACGGTCAATAAAAAATAATGATTATAGTAATATTACAGTAATAATGTAGAATAAAACGGGACTGATGGTCTATCGCACATCCGTCATCATTGCAGATCTCAATTAAGGAAAACTCTGTATAATAATAATAACAATAAGAATACCGCAACCAGTGCTTAGGGCACGGCGCTGAAAAAATACATAATTTATAAATAATATAGACATGGCTTAAAACATATATATAAAGAAAAAAATACATTACCAGCCCCGGAGGGCTAAAGAAGCTTGGCCGACGACATTTAATAAAAATTTCACGATTGCGCACAGGCGAACAAAACAATAATGAAAATAAAATGTAGTTGCTTCACACACAACTAAAGTCAAAAACGGAGTGCCGTACGAAGTGGTGAAGTTCCGGTACGTCGCGAGAGTATTGCCTGTATTATTAACTAAACAATAATAAAAAAAAAACTCTCGAATTAAATATATTCATAAACCGGTGATATGATGGGCAGTGCAATACGGAGGGTAATTGATAGGCGGGATGACGGGGTGAGTGTACGAACGCCGTCTATCGACCAAGTTCACGATGTAGCGACACAGATGAACCACTCGCACGTGCAGCAAAGATAACCGGAAATATACATCGTTCCAAGATCCGTTATCGCCTCATACAATAATTAAGACATCCCCGTGCGCAGTGGTGTAATTACGAGGTGGGTGTAAGGGGTTTCCACCCCCCCCCCACAGATTTTTTTTAATGATATTTGATTATTATTTATTAATATTTACATATTATAATAAAATATTTTGATTTTACTACGAATATGTATCTATTTAAAATTGAGTAACAAAATAATTTTCTTTAAATACGGGACATAATAATAATACCATTTTAAATGTAATATTATTACATAATATGTAATAGGTCATATTATGACCTCGTTTTAAGATATACTAAGAACACTTAGAAACTTACTCTTAAACACCCCCCCCCCCCCCCCCCCCACCCTTATCTCCCCCCCCCCCCCCCCCCCCCCCCAGAAAAAATTGTATTTACGCCACTGCCCGTGCGATATAATTAGAAACACTATTAAATATCAAACGAGGATACCCTTTTGTAACGTTACAACTACATAAATTAAATGGACAATATTACTATAAAAATCTAAATTTCAATTACAAAGCAAATTATCAGTACTCGAAAGTCGATGGTCATAGAACTCAAATAGCTAACATTCAATACTTCAATGATCACTATTGTTTGTATTTAAAAAAAAAGAAAACAAACGACCAATTTATAATTTATTGAATATATCATAGGCGTGAACACGGGGAATGTCAAGTGTGCCTGGACGCACCACAATATTATAAATGGGGCCCTACTAAGTTTTCGTTTAAAAACTTTTCATGATAATATAATAGCTACAATTAACTACAAAGTACAATAAATAAATAATTTAAACTATTTGAGAAAAATATACGAGATTCAAGAAAAACATATTTATTAAGGGACTAATTTACCACAATATTAAATAAAAAAAACTTAAAAAGTTATGTTTATTTAATTATTTATTTATTATAATTTATTAAATATATTTACACATTTTGTTAAAATAGGACTCAAAAGTATTGTAGATACCCCTGAAATACAGGTCTGCGTACGTTTATGCATACTACCATTACCCAGGTAAGTTATCAAATAATTATAATATATATTTGCTCAACATTTTATGTAACAGTGATGTACTTCAAAGAATCGATAAAGATATTTATTTAATAGTTTATAGACCCGATAGTAAATATCTTATCAAGTTGTTTTTATTGATCGATGTCGTATAAGATATTCGTATTTTACCTTTATTAAGATATCCGATAGATTCTTTGAATGTAGTCAGCGTGAGTTATTAACTAATTAATTTTCAGACAGTTATCTTTGTGAACCAAGCTCCATTAGGAACTATTTACCAACGCAGATATTATCATGTTGAGTTTAAAAATACAGGATTCCATTTTACTAACCAGAAGGGATTGGAAAAAAAACAAGTATCCAAAATTGTAGTTCACTTTTGTTGATCTATTTAACAATATCTGTGTTTTGGATTTAGCCATACCTTCGAGTCTCAGCCGAGCTTTCGTAATCGCATGACCCGCTTTGTTCGTAGCTGAACATTTTATTTCGCCTTCGTCAGCGTATTCGGCTTGGTGAATATATAAGGTACTGACGCCGTTGTCCGTGTTTACCCTCTGTCTTCTATTACTGAATAGTTCGAACCCATCTTTATACCAACTGATTTTTGGCGTAGGCGTCCCTTCAAATTCCACAACAAATTTCACCTATAAAACTTGTTTGATTAATATATAATCAATGAACATACGTTATTATTACTGACTATACATGTATTAATACATACATATTTACTACTAGTAATCATAGCACACATTAATTCCTGGGGCGTACTACTTTATAAATAACTATAAATGCAGAATGTCCTACGATTATTTACTAGTTTAAAGCCCTTCATCTCATGTAACTACTGAACCCTTTTGGCAGGCGCGGATCCAGGGAGGAGGGTCATGGGGTTCATAACTCCCCCCAGAAAAACATCAAGATTAGATCCTTTGTGTTTATTTAAAAATTAAAATATGCATAAAATGCGTTTTTAATTTTTTTTCAATTAGATTTTTTCTTGCAATAAAAATGTTATACAACATATTATATTTATATACATTTGAACTGCATCACCACTTGTTCATAAAATCATAATTTTCATTCAACTTCTAAGAATATTAATAGTGATTATAAACTTACTGATAGACTATAATATAGTTGGCGAATAAATATTAATAGTAAATCTGCGGAAATTTTTGAGTGTTCGACCTTTGACGGAAAAATAACTTATCTTAGATAAGATTACTATCAATTCGTTGGCTAGTACCGAATTGATTCCCGAGATCCAACCCCCCGTGCCGAATTGGTTTTCGTCTGAAAATGGTATTTTATTAGGTATAGCCGAATTGGTTTCCGTTTAAGTACGCACATTTTCCTTCTCAATTGTACAGGCTTAGGACTGTCAACTTTAAAGTATGCTTGGTTAATATGCAATTATGTATGTTAAAAAAAAAAATTATAAAAATATACAATTTTAAATCGTTGATTTGAAAGTCAACTAGTCATCACTTAGGTGTACGAAATACAAATAATAAAATATAATAAATACATTTTGAAACCACTTATTTGCAAATTTGAAGCTAACTTTTTTTAGATATTCAATTCTCGTAATCTTCTCATTAATGTACTGAGTCATACAATTTTCCAAATATTTGTTATTTCTTTCCTGTTTGCTAGTAATTTGCTAGTATCTAGTAATCTATATTATATCTATTATATTTATATACTCTATCTTATCGATATAATAATTGAATCTATATGTCATACATATAGCTTTTAAATTTTGTTTTTTGTTCTCAATGCACTGGCTCGCTTAAACTGTACACAAACGGGAACCAATTCAGCTATACCTAATAAAATACCTTTTTAAAACGGGAACCAATTCGATTACTCCCAATCCGTTACCCGTATGTTTATAATATTATGCCATATACTTGCTATGGCACCGCTAATTGCTAATTTAGGTTCTAATAACTTGTTAAAAAATACTATACATGCGATCATTCTCTACTCTCAGGCGTTTTAAGGCTTAAGATTTCATGGCTTCGTTTAACATTTGTTTAAAATTAACAATTTCATATATTCATAACGTTCTAATTTGAATCAATTATTTACTTTTATTATTTTGTAATTGTGTATTATCTTTTTGTACTTTCGAAAATATGACCCCCCTCTCAATTTGAGTTCTAGATCCGCGCCTGCTCGTCGTGTTTGCAACAAACTTGATCGTTTTCCAAAGCAACGCGATCTTCTATCCCGGAAATGAAAACCGGTGCCACAACGGCCGTCCTGTGCACTGTCATCGTGACGGGATCCGAAACGACGCTTGGCGGCGAATGTCCTAATGAGTTCACAGCTTTCACCCTGAACTGATAACGGCATCCTGGCTCGAGACCGCTCAGAGTCAAATAGGGTTTATCGATTTTCCCCGGAACAGCTTTAACCCAATGCGGAGAAATAGTTCGACGGTGCTCCACAATATAACCTTTATTGTAACACGTAGTTATATTATTATATATAAAATTAACGAAAAAAAAATAAATATATATATTAAATAAATACCAATGATAATATGAATATAACGCTTTTATGGTTAGTTGGATAATTATGTCTTTAACCAAAAAAAAAAAAAAAATAATAAAAATAAATTATGTTTGATGACTCAGTTACTATTCTAACTGTTCAGTTATGGTGAATTTTCAAAACGAGAAAAAAATGTGTAAATAATAAATAAACTTACTTAAATGAGTAAGATAAATTAAAACCAGATTCAGATTAAAATATTTATCATTAAAAAAGTGTATCAACGGTTTTTTTACCCATTACACATTTATCGATTTTTTCGAAATATAATAATCATGTAATATTTATTTATATATACAAATCTATAAGTTATATGTATTATAAATAAACAAAACATTACTAGTAACTGTTAAAAAATTTAGAATGTCGTTCGGAGATCAAATACATTATAAGTATGTATTTGGAGAAAATTTCTTTAAGGATAATGACAACAATTTTATTTATAAATAATCGGAAAATAATACAGGTATATGTTTTTATTTCTATAATATAAATAATGTATCATTTAATAGTTACTTTTATTATACTTATAGTATGTCGATTCAACTATTTATTATAATTCATAATGTTATTTTTTTTATTTGCTCATGTCTAATTTATTACTAACAGTTAGAAATATATAATAGAAAATAATAAAACCATTCTAAAAACAATATATATTTTGTTCAAGTGTATTACAAATTAAATCTTTTAATGATATATTATATTTTAACTACTCCTTTTAAACTAGAAAATATTTAATAAGACACGGATTATAACACTTGGTTGATATTAATAGAAATTCCTGTAAAACTTGAAACTTTTTATGCTTCGTCCTAATTTGTTGGCACCCGTAGAATACAGATTAAACTCATACAACATATACAAATCAATTGCAATTTAATTGAACAGTATTATTATTTTTGAATGGTTTTTGGTGCCTTGTGGATTAATTTAAAATTTGGATCGCAAAGTAAGTACTGTAATTTAACAAAATAAATTTATCTTTGATATAAATTATTAGGGACCACTTTATTCATTATTGTCTTGTACATTTTTGAAACATACGTAAAATACAAAAACATTATTTCCATAAGAAATATCTTCGTGAATGAATTTTTTTCCGTGCCAACAATTTGGACACAATATACAATTTACATAATATGTATGAAATCATTGATTTAAAAAGGTATACACTTTGAGCACTATACAGGTGCCTAAATATAATACGTATTATAGGGCATTTCGCGTGAACGACCAGGGTATGTAATTATTGGACCAAACCCCATAAAATATCTGCGTGACACGTAATACCATTCATCGACCGAAAGCACAGAATTTTCTTGGAACTAAAGGGGGGACACTTGTCAACAATATGTGTAATTTTTGAATCAAGTATATCAATTTTTAACAGTCGATACTATTGGGTTCCGTTCAATATCTGTCCTATACACGATTATGCTTCTGTTTCTAGTTTGTTTGATCTATCCTCACTAGCGGAGCGTAGGCGCAATGTTGGAATTAAATTCCTAAATGGCCTATAGAACGGCAACATCGATTCACCGGTCTTAATGTTTCTTATATGTTTTAAAGTACCTTAGCGGGCAACTAGAAACAACGTTCCCTTCATTAGTTCCACATTTCCTAACTAACTACGCAAAAAATTAGCCACTTATACACCTTAAGACTAATGCCAATATTGATCCCATTTTTGCACTTAATAATTAATTTATATGCATTATTGTTGAATATCTAATATAATGTTATATTATTTCACTGTGTACAAATATTGTTTGTAAAAAGGGCTTCTGCCCGTATAATTATGAAAATAAAAATAAATAAAATATCGCGGCGGGCATCGCACACCACGGAACTATAGTCTGTTCGGGTTAAGAGTGCCCAAACTCGCGCATGTCTTCCGAGAAGCTGATAACGGTCGGACACCCATCGATATCTAGACGCTCTATGATTCGTTGCCATTGTTCGACCGTCGTCGTTGTTTATCAAAGTCGGTGATTGCCGCCTTGTATAAAGATTATTATTAAAAAAAAAAAAAAAAAAAACCTGGTTATTCAAAATAGAACTATAGCTTGGCGTTACGAGAAGAGTGTGGTAAAACAGTTCACTCTACGTATAACAGCGTCGTAACGCGTCGGCATACTATAACGTTCCTAGTGGAAAGGACACATGCACAGTAAAAACCAGTTTTCGTCCAAGTGACTGGGCACTCTTATTCTGAATAGACTATAGTTGCAAATACCACACGTACACAAGGACGTATAATAAGCATATGCATAAAAAAAAAAAAAATGATGAAATGCGAACCGCCCATCGAGTGTTATATATTTCGTTACGATTCTATACGCGTTTGACTTTACCGGTGACGTTAGAGCCGCCGTTGTAGGTCGGTGGTTTCCATTTGACCGTAATGACGTCCGGTTCGTCGTCTGGGGACGCGACTACCAGATACGGTTTTCCCGGTGCGGACGGCGGACCTAGAAACATAATTAAAATGAGTGAATACACGTTGAAATAGAGACGGACATGCAAATATATATATATATATATATATATATATATATATAGAGATATAAAGAAAGTGAGAGGGAAAAATAAAAATCAATGTGAACACGACGTAAATGCCATCAAAACTTAGTGCTAAACACTGGCGCGCGAACTACCGCACGGTCGGGTGCGTTTCACATGTGTGTGGTCACGTACAGGTTCTTTCGGATGACGACGACAAACCTCCGCTGCCGTGCTTATACTTGATGAACGAAGACGACGAGTTGCCCATGGTGCACTGCCATCCAAAGCCTTCAAAGATCCCTTCGCCGCGTCGGACTATATTCGACGGTACGATCGTGATGTACGCGGAAAACCGTGCGTTCGGATACTGAACGTGTGCCGGACCGAACTACGACGGCAGCAGTCAAAGCCGATAAGGGATTTATTGGTCGATTAATTTTTTACACGGCCCGGAGGAACGTACGGACGGCGGCGGCGGCGTTTGCAGCGGTGACGCGGTGGTCGGAAGTCTGACTTACGAATAAACGAAAATAGACTGCGCGCACCAGCTGTTGGTCGCCGGGTCTGAGACGTTCGGGCTGTGGACCTGCTGCGCACTGCGCGTGTACGTCCGTTGATGTACACTAGTAGTGACAAACGTCACGGGTGGGGGCATGGAGATTTGCCAGGATTTTCGGATATTTTTTATAGTTTTTTTTTTTTTTTTTCGTTCGTTTCGTACACAGCCGCTCTTCTTCTCGTCATGAGCGTATTACGTGTTCGTTAAAATAATAATTAATTGTCTAAGTGGCCGAAACCGGCGGATCCGCGAAAAAAGTTGTTTTGGAGTCTGATCGTGCGCACGCGTTTCCCTGCTGCAGCGTATACGTACACGTATTGTACACCGAGTGAAACGAAAAATGACATTTATCTTATATCGTACACTGTAACGTAAATTGTTACGAATAGGTGACTGATCTGGAGGTTTTACACCGATGATAACGCTCAGTTGCATTGCAGAAAAAAATTCACAAAAAATTTTTAATTTATTCAATTTATACACTTTTTTCGTTAATTGACATTTTGCGTTCGCAGTACAGTTTTCGTTAGCATTATGATTTTTTCTCAATTTTACATAAGAAATTACATGTCAAAGGAACAAAGCCAAACAAACTCACGCGATAGTCAAGATAATGCTTACATCATTAATCGCTGAAATATGTTTTTTGTTTTTTTTTTTTTTTTATTGTTAGACAGCGCTCGTGGCATCACGAATGTTGTTGTCCCGACTTTTAGACAAAACGTGGCTGCGATATTTCTACATATACATAAATTATAAATATTAACGTTATGGAATTTTAAACTATTTTACTTTTGAACATCTCCCCATACTCGTAAAAGAAACCAGTATTACAATCATAACACAGAATATTTGGATAATATAAATTATAAAAATGTATTTCCCCTATTTACTAGTCATTATATAGAATACTAAAAAATGATACGGCCAATGTGTATAATTTATAATTTAAAATACAATATATTAAACGTATAACTATATTTCAGTATCTCAGTATTTTGGAATTATTTTTATCGATGTTGACGAATTGAAGAAATTTAGTTCACTCACAGAAATAACAAAGCCGGTTTCCAGTTTAGAACACCAAAGTTAAGCTCAAGATTAAGAGCCCCCTCCATAGCCATTTTTTTTCAAATTATTGTTTTTTATTATTTATATCATATTTGAAAAATACCTAAATTTGAATACAAATATGAAGTTCACCCCCATCACTCATCAGTGACTATTTATCCACTTAGACTAAAATATATACATGAACTATTACGATTACAAAAGACTAAAGAGTATAATATGCAGATTTCAGATAACTCAAACGGATTATGAAAGAGAGAATAGTGCACGATTTGTACAACGAACAAAAATCTAGAGAATAATATTAATATAGGGATAAATCTTATAAGGGTTGCAAGATCTTATGTAATAAATAATAAAAGGTTAGGGCATCTTAGAAGGATCCATTGCGATTTCTTCTAAGCTAATAAAATATAGGTGATACATTTTTATTTGCTTTTCGACTACATGAATAATGACAACATTTATTATTCTTTTAAACTATAAATGTTTCAGTTTAAAATTACATAAAAAATACAAAAAAAAACATACTATACTTTTTATTATATTGTTTTTAAAGTTTGGAAATCATTTTTGTGTTTTGCTATCGAACAAATGCTATCAGATATCACTGAATATATATTTTAACCATCATATAAATTCCCACCTATATCTGAGAACTGCAACTTTATTATATTTTTATAAATCAGTCATACAAGCTAATTAATATTATTTAATATAAAATTACTAGTATATATTGTCTCCCATTTATGAATTAACTATAAAAAAATATATATTATTATTACATCTATGAATTTAAAAAAAAATAAAATAGTATTATTGACCAGACCAATTCAAAGTATTTTTATTAAAATCAAGAAGTCAATGGATAATGACTTATAGTATGTAACATACATAGAACGTTCAGTGACGCGTGCATATTCTCACTGGTATTTGTATTATTATTATCGTATGCATTATACATAATATAAATATAAATATCATCCTAAAAATGACAGATGTTTAAGTTAAGAATTAATATAACACTTGAAATGTTTAATAATAATAATAACTGTATAGTATATTATATAATTTAATATCCTGTACACTCTTGATCGGACGTCACTGTACAGTATAAATTATGGGGAACACTTACGTACATTTTTATATAACATACGTATTCTTTATTTTCAAGGCTATGTATATTATTCACGTCGTTACAATATAACAGCATATCTAAGTTTCGAATTTTGAGGAAAGGTGAATCAAAAAAATATTACGTTTAATATGCAATAAAGCCTGTTTTTGAGAGGAAAACAGGAGTGACAGGACAATATTTGATTATAGAATATTATATGCTTATATTGATTACCTATTTTCTGTATATTATTTTAAGATATGATTTAAGAATTATATCGAAAAAAAAATTTTAATTGATATGTATAATTTGTATTATCTGATTTTAAATTCTTCCCGATTTCTAAAAATTTTAGTTGATCCAATGAAAATAATATGCAAGTTTACCAAACGCAAAATATATAGATCTTATAGGGTTATATCTCTGTTAAAATAATTGTTAGATATAGGTACTAATTGTATTTTTATTTATATTTTTATTATTTTATATATCATTTTTACTTTTATTTTATTGTTAGAATCTAATACTATTCTGTTATAAATGTAATAAATGTGTTTTAGGTAACTACGAAAATTATAAAAATATAGTAAGTTTTTGTTAAAAATATTATTTTTGTTATTAATGTTGTTATTATTATATTTAAAAACATATAACTTAAGTTGTTTCGATACAAATAAATCAATTATTTTATATTAATTTATATAAGTTCTTATGAATGAATATTGTATCCATATGATTGCAAGAAACATTTGTTTAATATATGGTTTAGAGCTGCTTAATAATAATGCATTTGTATTCGCGGTAGAGCTTACAATTCAGTTGTTGTCAGGTTTATATTCAATTTTTTTTTTTTTTTTTTTATCATAGAAACTTATCCACGCATTACAAATCTGCCATTTTTGAAAAAAAAAATATAAACGATCGGTAACGAATAATAAACGATATCTGTAAGAAACAGTCCGCGATTTTTTTCTTCCTCGTCTATTCCCAACAACATACATACATGTGCAATGCATATAAGTCGAAATCTAACTATTTATCTGACTGCAGCAGTAGTTTTCGTATACGTGCACGCATTGTTTGTTCGACCCGTACATAGGCCGTCTTGAAAATGGCCACGCAAAAGAAATCGATAGAATAGTAATAATAATAAAAATAATATAATATCGTCGCCCATAAACTCTGTGGGAATACTTCCATTTCGTTTACGTGTTTTGTTATCTTTAACATCAGATCCCCATTAATAGCGCTCCAGGCCATTCGGGTTTTGGAAAAGCTGCACCGCAAAAATATTTCTACCACAATTTCTTCCGAATGCAACAAATATATAAAAACGCAGAGCATATTATTCTGTATAAAAATATATTATATTAAAGTCATTTTTATTTTTTTCGTCTTACAAAAAATCAAAAAAAAAAATACGAAATTTCTTTCGTGGTTGTATAAATTATTTTTTTATATATTTTATTTACTAAGCAAAATCAAGCGTAGATTGGGTAAATTTCGTAATTATTCATATTTTTTTTAATTTTATATATTATCTCAAGGTTGGGTGATAGAACGCTGTGACGGGACATCTAATAAAATTAGTTAAAGAGAGTTCAGAAAATCACTCAGGCTTTACGCCGAAAAATAAAATAAGAACAATGATATATTCTATTTATAAAAATACAAGGGTGGTTATAATGAACGATGCGCCACGTATTAAACTTCCTGCTCCAGAAAGACTCTAAATTAAAAAAAAACTGAATACTCAACAGTTAACAAAATAGAGATGATTTTAATTTTATTTATTTTAATGGCATCAATGGTATTTATTCTATATTTGATTGCGAACGTGTTTTAATTCATCAATGTCATTTTAATTTTCCTGAAAATAAAATAGGTTCGTACGCGGGGTGATTTATTTTTCCTACTGTTAAAAAGTTTTAAAAAGTTTTAATGGTTATAACAAATATCCATGTAAATATACATAATTCGAAATTTAATAACTAAACCTTAGACCAGTCAGTAGAAATTAATGGTGCAAAGTATACATTTTTGTAAGTTAAGTACTTCCATTTTTTTTTATCATAACCAATTTTTTTATGTATAACTAAAAATGTATATCTTACAGAAAGTATTTTATATTTTTTTTTGTTTCTCAAATATTGGTGTATATTTTAAGAACTTTAAAAAGTCGAGCGTACAAGGTGCTTTCCGTTGTGACATGACAAGCTCAAAACTTGAACGCACTCATGAAACGGACCGTCGACTGGATCGAGCCCCATGTAAGAACCGAAATGTGCGTAGTTGGGAAGTATCGTCTCATTTCTGCACGGAAACTAATGTACCATATATACATTTTCTATATCATCGAGACGACGTTGATGAATTATGTAAATTGATCTCGTTGGCTACTCGTACACAGATTCAACGTCCTCTAAGTTTTCCCGAATTTCACGTCGTTTATACGTAAATATTGTTGCTCAATAAAGTTATATATTGAGCGTATTTATTGTACAAAAAGGCGTGATAAGCAGTAGCGTAGCAAGGGTATGATGAACTGTGCTTACGCCAAGGGCGCGAATTGCAAAGGGGCGCAAAATTGTGCAAAAGTCGTATTTTCACCCTTCAGTTAAATCGAATTTTTTCCGTTATACTTTTTGAAATACGTAGATTTGTACACACTACATGTGAATTGAATGATGAAATTATGAAAATAAGGCATTTAAATAAAAAATTTCATATGAAGAAATGATCGATGAATTTGCAGTCATAAAGCGAGAAAAGCAAATTTTCAAAGTTTAAAATTAATAGTATAAGTATAAATTATATACTTAAAAATTTAAGTAAAATTAAAGGTTAAAAA